AGGGCCCAGCACGCATCGGAACCAGCGGCCGGGACGACGTTGACCCCCGGGGGGCACGAGGGGGTCAGCTGGAGGCACGGCACGGCCGACGACTTCACCTGTCCACCAGCCAGGCAGGACTTCTGGTCGCAGCCTTCCAGCCAAGTGTCACCAGCCTGCATGGAGGAGGCAACACACACACGCCCACAGACTCAGCACTGCCCATAGACTCAGCACTGCCCATAGACTCAGCACTGCCTATAGACTCAGTACTGCCCCATAGACTCAACACTGCCCATAGACTCAGCACTGCCCCATAGACTCAGCACTGCCCCATAGACTCAGCACTGCCCATAGACTCAGCACTGCACCATAAACTCAGCACTGCCCCATAGACTCAGCACTGCCCCATAGACTCAGCACTGCCCCATAGACTCAGCACTGCCCCATAGACTCAGCACTGCCCATAGACTCAGCACTGCACCATAAACTCAACACTGCCTATAGACTCAGTACTGCCCCATAGACTCAGCACTGCCCCATAGACTCAGCACTGCCCCATAGACTCAGCACTGCCCCATAGACTCAACACTGCCCCATAGACTCAGCACTGCCCCATAGACTCAGCACTGCACCATAGACTCAACACTGCCTATAGACTCAACACTGCCCCATAGACTCAACACTGCCCCATAGACTCAGCACTACCCCATAGACTCAGCACTGCCTATAGACTCAGTACTGCACCATAGACTCAACACTGCACCATAGACTCAGCACTGCCCCATAGACTCAGCACTGCCCATAGACTCAGCACTGCACCATAGACTCAGCACTGCCCATAGACTCAGCACTGCACCATAGACTCAGCACTGCCCCATAGACTCAGCACTGCCTATAGACTCAGTACTGCACCATAGACTCAACACTGCACCATAGACTCAGCACTGCCCCATAGACTCAGCACTGCCCATAGACTCAGCACTGCACCATAGACTCAGCACTGCCCATAGACTCAGCACTGCACCATAGACTCAGCACTGCCTATAGACTCAGTACTGCCCCATAGACTCAGCACTGCCCCATAGACTCAGCACTGCCTATAGACTCAGTACTGCCCCATAGACTCAACACTGCCCATAGACTCAGCACTGCCCCATAGACTCAGCACTGCCCATAGACTCAACACTGCCCATAGACTCAGCACTGCCCCATAGACTCACCACTGCCCCATAGACTCAGCACTGCCCCATAGACTCAGCACTGCCCATAGACTCAACACTGCCCATAGACTCAGCACTGCCCATAGACTCAGCACTGCCCCATAGACTCAACACTGCCCCATAGACTCAACACTAAGTCGGCACTCACGTATTTGGGGATGTGGTCGCTTGTCCAGCAGTCTGCAAGCCACGAGAGAGGGGAGAGAGAGGGGAGTCAGCATCTGTGTTTAGACTGGAGGATTAAGAATCTATTTGCATTTCATGGCAATAAAACAGGAGGTGCGTTAAGATGTTTAAACACCAAATACATAAATATCACTCACGGGGAATCAATCGTAAGTGCCCTGTACTCTGACAGGCGCGTCGCCTTACCAGGACAAGCGTCCACACACAAGCCTCATCACCTTACCAGGACACGTGTCCACACACAAGCCTCATCACCTTACCAGGACAAGCGTCCACACACAAGCCTCATCGCCTTACCAGGACACGTGTCCACACACAAGCCGCGTGGCCTTACTAGGACACGCGTCCACGCACAAGCCGTGTGGCCTTACCAGGACACGTGTCCACACACAAGCCTCATCGCCTTACCAGGACACGTGTCCACGCACAAGCCGTGTGGCCTTACCAGGACACGTGTCCACACACAAGTCGCGTGGCCTTACCAGGACACGTGTCCACACACAAGCCTCATCGCCTTACCAGGACACGTGTCCACGCACAAGCCGTGTGGCCTTACCAGGACACGTGTCCACACACAAGCCGCGTCGCCTTACCAGGACACGTGTCCACACACAAGTCGCGTGGCCTTACCAGGACACGTGTCCACACACAAGCCTCATCGCCTTACCAGGACACGTGTCCACGCACAAGCCGTGTGGCCTTACCAGGACACGTGTCCACGCACAAGCCGCGTGGCCTTACCGGGGCACACGTCCACGCACAAGCCACGTGGCCTTACCAGGACACGCGTCCACGCACAAGCCACGTGGCCTTACCAGGGCACACGTCCACGCACAAGTCCGAGCCGGCCTCCTGCAGCTTCTGGCCTTCGGGACAGAAGCAGCCCTCACCCACCCACACGCTGCCCTCCTCGGCACTGCACGGGACACACACACACGCGTGTGTGGGCACGTGTGGACACACGGGGGGGGGGGGGACACACACACGCGGGGACATGTGTGAACATGTGTGGGCACACGCGGGGATGTGTGGGAGTGTTGGAGTGCTGGGAGTGATGGGAGTTTTGGAGTGATAGAGTGATGGTAGTGTTGGTAGTGATGTGAGTGATGTGAGTGATGGAGTGATGTGAGTGATGGAGTGATGGTAGTGATGGTAGTGATGTGAGTGATGGAGTGATGGAGTGATGTGAGTGATGGAGTGATGGAGTGATGGTAGTGATGGTAGTGATGGTAGTGATGCGAGTGATGTGAGTGATGTGAGTGATGGAGTGATGTGAGTGATGGAGTGATGTGAGTGATGGGAGTGATGGAGTGATGGAGTGATGTGTGTGATGGGAGTTTTGGAGTGATTGGAGTGATGGTAGTGATGGTAGTGTTGGTACTGATGGGAGTGATGTGAGTGATGGTGATGATGGTGATGATGTGAGTGATGGTGATGATGGTAGTGAAGTGAGTGATGTGTGTGATGTGAGTGATGTGAGTGATATGTGTGATGGTAGTGATGGTGATGATGGTAGTGATGTGAGTGATGGTGATGATGCGAGTGATGGTGATGATGTGAGTGGGGCTGAGGGCTCACGTCTCCACGCCGCAGGTGATCTCCACCTTGGCTGCGCACGCCTTGTACACCAGCTGGCCCGGGCACTCGAACGCTGCGAAAGACATTGAACAACAATCTCTCTAGAGATGCCGCTTGTTGATGTTGTGTAGTGTATAGTGTAGTGTATAGTGTATGGTGTAGTGTATGGTGTAGTAGTGTATAGTGTAGTGTGTAGCGTAGTGTATAGTAATGTATAGTGTAGTAGTGTATAGTGTAGTAGTGTAGTGTAGTAGTGTATAGTATAGTGTAGTAGTGTATAGTGTAGTGTATAGTGTAGTGTATAGTGTAGTAGGGGAGTGTTTTTTAATTTGAATGTTCACCACAAGCACTGTGTGTGGCTAATGCAGTGACATGATTCCTTGCTAAAGGTTTCTGTTTGGGGTTTTAACATCTTAACACGACTCCTGTTTCATTACTGGCAGAAAGGGTAAAACCACTTCTCTGTCTTTTTTTGTCTATTTGCGTTCCAAACGTCCGACGTTTCGGGACACGCTCCTCCCCCCATCCCCCACCCCCGGGCACGACTCACGGCAGCGTCCTTGGGACAGCGACCTCCAGTCGACGCACTTCCCCACGCGACCGCACTCCGCCGCGGCCGTCTGCGCGCTGGAGCAGTCGATCTCTGTGCGGTTCACGACGCAGTGGTCGAACTTGCAGCCCTCGTGGTACCCGCTCAGGTCCACGTCGTCCTTGCACGACTTGAAGTTCCTAGCCGAGGAGGTGGTGGAAGAGGAGGAGATTGAGATGGGCGAATGGCAACATCCTACGGAGAGACGCGAGCGAGCGACGAACTTACGGCGTAGGGGGGGGGGGGGTGCTGTAGCGGCTACACGTGGATAGACTCCTACCCCAGGGGGGGGGTGGGAAGAGGCAGTAGATGGAGGGGGGGTGAGGAGGTAGAGGGGGAGGTGGTGGAGGGGGAGGAGGGGGGAGGAGAGTGGGGGTGGTGGGAGGAACGACCCGCGGGTCGCTAGCGAGGGAGAGGGTCGCGAGCGAGTGAGAGGGTCGCCAGCGAACGAGCGAGCGAGCGTCTTACTCCAGGATCAGCTGGTCGCAGATCTTGGCGCCTTCGCAGTCCGCTGGTGGCGGCGGCGGCTTGCATCCCCCGCCGGGCGGCAGCTGGGGCCTCACGCACTGCGGCCTCGCGGCGTCAGCGATCAGCCAGTCCTGCGCCGTGGCCAGGCAGCAGTTGTCGACGGGCCGCGACGCTCCGTCCCGCCCGGAGCAGTCGTCGGTGCGGTCGTTGTTGCACCTCCCTGGGGGGGGCGGAGGAGTGGGGGGGGGGGAGGAGGAGCAGGAGGGCGCGACCGCGACAGTCATTCTCAGAATCTGAATATTTTGGATTGATCTTCCCTGGGAGGCATCCGATGAGATGTGTTGCTCTGTTGTTCCAGAGATGTCCAATAGGGGCATGCTGTCAGAACAACAACAACAAACACAACAACAACAAACACAATACTCACAGACACGATAGGAGTGCAGAATGTATGAAAGGTAAACAAATCGCTTCGAATCGACGCGCAAATTAAATTTTGACTTTTTTTTCCATCTTGCCAGGTGCGAGGCTCCAGCTGAGCTGCTACGAAGCAGCTCAAATTGTCAGAAGCGACGTGGCCATCACGAACGATAGCAGCTCAATCACGTGGTCTGATGTCGTCATCATCATCATCACGTGGACATTCATAGCAGCAAAATAATCTAAATCAACTTCTACACCATCAGTTTAACACGTAGGCTTTCGCGACCAATATTATTCATAATCAACGTTTTTGGGTTTAGATCGCGTTATTTATAAATGTGTTGTAACCCTCCACCATTCTGGCGAATTGCCCGATGATGCCGGATGCAATTACCAGCGAAACATCACAGTACTCAAATTGTAAATGTTGTGGTTTCACGCTTCAACACACCGGTGGGCTAAAGCAGTGAACTATTTGTCTTTTGTCAACGTGACACTTTTTACTGATTGGCTGTGTCGGGTGGTGGAGGGTTACGACACATTTCTACACCATCACCGTCTACACCGTCTACACCGTCTACACCGTCACCGTCCCCACGTACCGCACTGTCCCTCCGTGTTGTCTCCGAACAGCTCCCTGGGCACGTCGATGAGGAAGCCCAGGCCGTTGAACTGGATCTTGACGCGGATGTCGGCGATCACCACGAAGTCGTCCGTCTTCACCGACGTCACCTGGAAGCCCTTGTCGGTGAACGGAGCCTTCTTCGTCTGCCCGTTCAGCTGGATCTGAGGGTGCGAGAGACGGTGCGGAAACGTCAGAAACAAACAAGCAACGAAGTCATCCTCCCAGCGGCAGTAGCGGTGGCGGCGGTGGCTTTTGATCTGGGCCGTCGGATAGACGGTCACCATGCCGCGTGCTTTCAGATGCTAGATACACTGCACTATACACTACACTATACACTGCACTATACACTACACACTACACTATACACTATATACTACAATACACTACACTATACACTACACACTACTATACACTACACTATATAGTACAATACACTACACTATACACTACACTACTATACACTACACACCACACGACTATTATACACTACTACACACTACACACGACTATACACCAAACTATACACCACACTACTATAAAAACTACTCGATAAACTCAACTATACAAAGCTATACAATACCATACACTATACACTACAATACTACATTACACTATCACCAATTACATTGGTCGCAATGGCGGGGGGTGGGTGGCGGGGCAGGGGGGCGGGGCAGGGGGGCGGGGCATGGGGGGGCGGGGCCAGGGTGGTGGCTGACCTTGCGCAGGGCGAAGTCGACTTCTGAGGCGAGGCCGACGCGCAGCTCGTTGCCCTTGTAGACGATGATGAGCGTGCGGGGGCACGACACGTGGTGACGAGCGTCGCAGTCGAAGAATTCGGCGCTGACGGAGAGGTCGTAGGTCTTCTGCTTCTCCTGCAGCAGCACGTAGCTGCACGGGTCGAGCAGCGTGAACTTCGCTCCGTCGAACGTGCGCATGTGGGGGTCTCCGTAGCCCGTGCAGAGGCCTGCGTGGCGGGGGTGGGTAGTCGGGGTTAGGGGGGCGGGGGGGGAACGCTGTTAAGATGTAATAACGTCGGTGTTTATTTTCTTCTTGGGGTCAAAGATGGCGTGAATATAGAGAAGTTTAATCTTGTAGTAGTAGGTTTTTACCCTTTCAACTGGTACAAAATCTGACACCTTTATACAAGGCATCATGTTTGCAATAACCACAACACAAGCAGTCAAAATGCAAACAAAAAGAAACAACTCTGATGATGATAATGATATGCACTGTCCTTGAAGTTGATTGGTCCACACCTGAGACAGCTTTTCTTAGAGCCTAGTCTCCATTGGTGTTGGACCAGATGACGACAACTGAAAGACAGTGCACTATCAGAGTATTGAGAGCTCGGGGAAAGCATTTACACTATGAGACATCTCCATTACCAGTGGCAAAATATAGTAGTAGGTTTTTACCCTTTCAACTGACTGCTTGTGTTGTGGTTATTGCAAACATGATGCCTTGTATAAAGGTGTCAGTTTTTGTACCAGTTAAAAGGGTAAAAACCTACTACTATATTTTGCCACTGGTAAAGGAGGTGTCTCATGGTATAAGTTTAATCTTGATTTGAAGCTTTCGTGACTGCAGGGATCCACACTCTTTGGTTCTTTCGGTAAAGTCACGAGGGTAGAAAATCAATAATAGATCACGACGTTTTGTCTGAGCCCACTTCAGCAGTTTTCTCTTACTGTGGTTGTCCCTGCCTGATGACGATTGCTTGTGTTGCTGTATCAAGTACTTAGCTGTATCAAGCACGATAGCTGTATTTAAGTACTATAGCTGTATCAAGTATTTAGCTGTATCAAGTACTTAGCTGTATCAAGTACTAAGCTGTATCAAGTACTAAGCTGTATCAAGTACGATAGCTGTATCAAGTACTTAGCTGTATCAAGCACGATAGCTGTATCAAGTACTAAGCTGTATCAAGTACTAAGCTGTATCAAGTACTAAGCTGTATCAAGTACTTAGCTGTATCAAGTACTTAGCTGTATCAAGTACTAAGCTGTATCAAGTACTAAGCTGTATCAAGTACTAAGCTGTATCAAGTACGATAGCTGTATCAAGTACTTAGCTGTATCAAGCACGATAGCTGTATCAAGTACTAAGCTGTATCAAGTACTAAGCTGTATCAAGTACTAAGCTGTATCAAGTACTAAGCTGTATCAAGTACTTAGCTGTATCAAGTACTTAGCTGTATCAAGTACTAAGCTGTATCAAGTACTAAGCTGTATCAAGCACGACTGCTGTATCGTATCCCCCGAAGCTTCCTAAGTCGGGTGGGTCCGTTAGTCGCGGCGGAGTCCCCCGTAGTCCCGCGCCTGCGATCGTCGCCACTCACAGTCGCACTGCCAGTGGAAGCAGCAGCCGTCGACGTCCGGGGCGCGCACGGGCTTGCGCCCGGAGACGCACACGGGCGCCGGTAGCTCCACGCAGGGCCTCTTCTCCATGCTGACCTTGGAGCCGCTGCCCAGGCACGTGGCCACCATGCAGTCGGCCGTGTTCCACGTCTCTCCGAGCTGCGGGGGGCGGCGGGGGGACGACGCGAACGCAGCAGCGGTGGCGTTAGCGTGACATGACACGGAGCCGCAGCGTGATATGACACACAACACTATACACTGTACTGTACACTACACTACACACTGTACTGTACACTACACTATACACTGTACTGTACACTACACTATACACTGTACTGTACACTACACTATACACTGTACTGTACACTACACTATACACTACACTATACACTACACTATACACTACACTATACACTGTACTGTACACTACACTACACTATACACTACACTATACACTACACTATACACTACACTATACACTGTACTGTACACTACACTATACACTGTACTGTACTATACACTGTACTGTACACTACACTATACACTACACTATACACTACACTATACACTACACTATACACTGTACTGTACACTACACTATACACTACACTATACACTACACTATACACTGTACTGTACACTACACTATACACTACACTATACACTACTATACACTACACTATACTACAATATATATTAGACTATATACTACTATACACTACACATTACACTATTCACTACTATACACTACACTATATACTACACTATACACTGTACTGTACACTACACTATACACTACACTATACACTACACTATACACTACACTATACACTACACTATATACTACAATATATATTAGACTATACACTACTATACACTACACATTACACTATTCACTACTATACACTACACTATATACTACACTATACACTACACTACACACTACACTATTCACTACTATACACTACACTATATACTACACTATACACTACATTACACACTACACTAGTCACTACTATATTACACTATACACTACACTACACACTACACTATTCACTACTATACACTACACTACTATATTACACTATACACTACACTATTCACTACTATACACTACCATAGAATGCACGACACACTACACGACACGACTAAATACCACTATACACTACACTGTCCACTACATCAAACACTCGCCGCGCACCGGACAAACTACGAGCGGCCATTCTACAGCGGAAGGCCCCGTCCGTCGCCGTCACCGCCCGGCGTCACGAGCTCACCGCGCGAGGTGGCACCAGGGCGTCGCAGTCGCCGATTGGTGGAGGCTTTGTGGGCGGCGGCTTTGTGGGCGGAGCCTTGGTGGGCGGAGGTCTGGTGGGCGGAGGCTTAGCGGTAGTCCGCACGGCCGTGACGAAGGCCGTGGTGGCCGGGCACGGCACCACGCTCGCCTCCACACCCGAGCAGTCCGGCCTGCAGATGGCCACACGGCACTTGCCGTCCCGCTGCGTGGTGTTGTACAGCACCTCGCCTGGGGAGCACAGAGAAACAAGAGGGGTTATGAAGGTTCGGAACCAGCCGGCAGCCCTGGTTAATACTGCGAATTGCGTATCGAGCGTAGAGATACCGCTGCTACTACTACACTTGCCGTCCCGCTGCGTGGTGTTGTACAGCACCTCGCCTGGGGGGCACAGAGAAGCCAGGGGGTTATGAAGGTTCGGAACCAGCTGCCAGCCCCTGGTTAATACCGCGATGTGCTACTACTGCTCTTGCATCGTGCTGATTGGCTGTGGCTCTGCCATCATCCACTCAGTGGGCTGAGTGTGATTGATGCTGATTGGCTGTGGCTCTGTCATCGTCCAGCAAAATCTCATTGTCACTGAGCGCGCATAACTGAAAGGTCGATCGTCAATTTTTGGCATGGAGATACGCGGAAAATGGTTATGCTTTTGGACCATCCGCGTTTTTGGAATTGTATGTGGCCATCCTTCCCGTCATTCGTGCGGATAATCGAGCATCTCCAGAGTACGAGTGAGATTTAGAACTAGACTGGCGCACGCACCTGCAGGGGTGACCGTCTTGCCGGCAGTGCAGAAACACGGAGCTGCAAACACAAGCAGAGGTAGGAGAGGCATCATCAGTCACCAGGCATCAACAAGTCACGTTCTAAACCATGGGACCAGAGGTCGCTAACGGGTTTAGATTCCTTACCCGTACCCGGCCGCACCAGGGTCGCAAACGGGTACCCGTACCTGGCCGTACCCTACCCTACCCGTACCCGGCCGGGTACGGGTAGGGTAGGGTATGGGTATCGGGTACCTGATTGCGACCTCTGGGATGAAGCCATGTTGCAGGCGCGGGTGGGTTGATTCTAGGAACTTGAATTGTGAGAAGAGACAAGACGTTGGGAAATGAGTGACAAACAGTTACTCACCAGTGACTCACGGTCTACCCGTACCCGGCCGCACCAGGGTCGCAAACGGGTACCCGGCTACCCGTACCCGGCCGGGTATCGGGTAGGGTACAAGTACCCGGTTGCGACCTCTGCATGGGACTCTTTGAAACTTTCTTTATTTTACCAGGTGTAAGGGCCACTAGGCTGCTTAGCTCTCTGTCAGAAACGACCTGGCTATCACAAACAATAGCATCTCACCTGATGAGGGATGCTTGTGTTGCGCCCAAAACGTCGTTATTTATTTCATTTTATATCCACGTGACTTTACCGAAAGAACCAAAGAGTATGGATTCCCGCAGTCACGAAAGCTTCAAGTCAATATTGGCTAATCATCATCACGTGGACATTCATAGGAGCCAAATGATGAATCGAAACGCGTGATGTCAGGGTCGGGATCGAACCCACAACCTCCTGCATACCGGGCGAGAGAGTTAACATCACGCCTAATAGTGACACAACGGTTTAACTAAAATAGTATTGACATTGAATCAACACTACACAACACTATACACAACAGCACTATACTACATTGAAAACGAATTTCTGTAGAACTGCTTTGTAAGATTAGTTAGTTGTGCTTCCCTCCACACCTCCGATTAGTGCAGTTGGCTACTTACATAAGTACTACACTATACACTACATACCACACTATACACCACTATACACTACATACCACACTATACACTACATACCACACTATACACCACTATACACTACATACCACATTATACACTACACTATACACTACATACCACACTATACACCACTATACACTTCACTAATATACACTACACACTGCTGTACACGTACACTACACTATACACTACGCTATACACTACATACCACACTATACACTACTTTACACGTCACAATATACACTTAAATAACATACAGTACACTATACACTCGATACTACACGACGCTATACACTACACAACTATACACTACACTACACACTACACTACACACTACACTATACACTACACTACACAGTATACTACACTATACACTACACTATACACTACACTACAAATACACTACAAATACACTACACTTACACGATACACTACCATGCACTACACTATACACTACACTATACACTACTACACACTACACTATACACTATACTATACACTACACTACTATACACTACACTATACACTACACTACACATTACACTATACACGATACACTACCATGCACTACAAACTACACCACACACATACAAACGCGCCAACGAAAATACCGCCCCCCCCCGCCCCCATCCCCTGGCCATCCCCCCCCTCTCACTCGTGACGCGGATCTCCGTGGTGGCCTCCGTGGTGACGGCCGCCGTCTCCGTGGGTGCCGGCGGCGCCGCCGTCGTGCCGAGCGACGTCCCGACTCCTGCCGTGGTCGCCGGGACCTCGGCGCAGCACACGCGGATCTCGTAGTTGTAGCAGAGGCCCAGCGGGCCGCTCTGGTCCACGTTGCGGCACACGAGGCCCACCGAGGCGTCGCAGCTCACCGCCTGCCCGTTCGCGGACAGCGGCTCGTGGGGCAGGCGCGTCGAGCGGCAGTCGACGCTCTCCACGCGCTGGCTGGGCCCGCACGGCGGCCCACGTGACGCCGCCATCTTGTCGAACGTCTCGAAGTCGCCGCCGTCGTCGCCCGGCGAAGGGCTGCTCACGTCGAGCCACTGGGTCCAGCGGCCGGAGCATTCTGTGAGAGGGCGAGTTTGTGTGGGTCGTGTGTGCGTGTGTGTCGGTGTGTGTGTGTGTCGGTGTGTGTGTCGGTGTGTCAAGTGTCAGTGTGTGTGTCAGTGTGTGTGTGTCGGTGTGTGTGTGTCGGTGTGTGTGTGTGTCGGTGTGCGTGTGTCAGTGTGTGTCGGTGTGTGTGTGTCAGTGTGTGTGTCGGTGTGTGTGTGTCGGTGTGTGTGTCGGTGTGTCAAGTGTCAGTGTATGTGTCAGTGTGTGTGTGTCGGTGTGTGTGTGTCGGTGTGTGTGTGTGTCGGTGTGCGTGTGTCAGTGTGTGTCGGTGTGTGTGTGTCAGTGTGTGTGTGTGTGTGTCAGTGTGTGTGTGTGTGTGGCGTTCCATTCTTATGAGCCAAGTTAATTATTATTTTGTTATTACATGTATCATCGTTTGCGAGGTGTTGTTTACCTCTCAATTCATTAATTTGTTCCTCGTCTGATGGTGGCCAAATTGTGTCTGGCGAGGTCAAACTTCCGTTCAATGGGTGACCCCAGGGGATACTTTCCCGTGTTAATCCCAAGCAGTGGAATTCAAATATTCGATGTGCCGAATCTCTCGGTTTATTTAAGAATATTTTTTTACTTCAAGGGCTTATCTCCCCATTGATTTGGTTTTGTGTTTTGGGAATGTGGGGGGTGGGGTAGGTTTAAGAATTGCGTGAGTTATTTACTTGGTTGCTTTTAGCTCTGTGCAGTACCTCGCGACCTCTGGGTTAAACGTTCTTTATCGTGTAAATTCTTCTTAATATTGTTGATTATACTCTTTGGTTCTATCGGCAAAGTCAAAAAGTATGGATCCCTGCAGTCATGAAAGCTTCAAATCAAGATTGTTGATTATGTTAAATACATAGTTATCTGATGATGGAGGTGGTGTATTTTCACCTGATGATGGTGGTGGTGTTGGTTCTTCTCCTGATGATGGCGGTGGTGTCTTTTCTCCTGATGATGGTAGTTGTGTCGGTTCTGGTGGTGGTTGAGTGGGTGGCACCTGAGATGTCTCTTCCCCTGATGATGGAGGTGGTGTCTTTTCACCTGAAGATGGTGGTGGTGTCTCTTCTCCTGATGATGGTGGTGGTGTCGGTTCGTCTCCTGATGATTCTTCTGATGATTGTGGTTGTGTCGGTTCTGGTGGTGGTTCAGTGGGTGGCACTTGAGATGTCTCTTCTCCTGATGATGGCGGTGGTGTCTCTTCTCCTGATGATGGAGGTGGTGTCTTTTCACCTGATGATGGTGGTGGTGTCTTTTCTCCTGATGATGGAGGTGGTGTCTTTTCTCCTGATGATGGTGGTGGTGTCTTTTCACCTGATGATGGCGGTGGTGTCTTTTCTCCTGATGATGGCGGTGGTGTCTTTTCTCCTGATGATGGCGGTGGTGTCTTTTCACCTGATGATGGCGGTGGTGTCTTTTCACCTGATGATGGCGGTGGTGTTTTTTCTCCTGATGATGGCGGTGGTGTCTTTTCTCCTGAAGATGGTGGTGGTGTCTCTTCTCCTGATGATGGTGGTGGTGTCGGTTCGTCTCCTGATGATTCTTCTGATGATTGTGGTTGTGTCGGTTCTGGTGGTGGTTCAGTGGGTGGCACTTGAGATGTCTCTTCTCCTGATGATGGCGGTGGTGTCTCTTCTCCTGATGATGGAGGTGGTGTCTTTTCACCTGATGATGGTGGTGGTGTCTTTTCTCCTGATGATGGAGGTGGTGTCTTTTCTCCTGATGATGGTGGTGGTGTCTTTTCACCTGATGATGGCGGTGGTGTCTTTTCTCCTGATGATGGCGGTGGTGTCTTTTCTCCTGATGATGGCGGTGGTGTCTTTTCACCTGATGATGGCGGTGGTGTCTTTTCACCTGATGATGGCGGTGGTGTCTTTTCTCCTGATGATGGCGGTGGTGTCTTTTCTCCTGAAGATGGTGGTGGTGTCTCTTCTCCTGATGATGGTGGTGGTGTCGGTTCGTCTCCTGATGATTCTTCTGATGATTGTGGTTGTGTCGGTTCTGGTGGTGGTTCAGTGGGTGGCACTTGAGATGTCTCTTCTCCTGATGATGGCGGTGGTGTCTCTTCTCCTGATGATGGAGGTGGTGTCTTTTCACCTGATGATGGTGGTGGTGTCTTTTCTCCTGATGATGGAGGTGGTGTCTTTTCTCCTGATGATGGTGGTGGTGTCTTTTCACCTGATGATGGCGGTGGTGTCTTTTCTCCTGATGATGGCGGTGGTGTCTTTTCTCCTGATGATGGCGGTGGTGTCTTTTCACCTGATGATGGCGGTGGTGTCTTTTCACCTGATGATGGCGGTGGTGTCTTTTCTCCTGATGATGGCGGTGGCGTCTTTTCTCCTGATGATGGCGGTGGTGTCTTTTCTCCTGATGATGGCGGTGGTGTCTTTTCTCCTGATGATGGTGGTGGCGTCTTTTCTCCTGATGATGGCGGTGGTGTCTTTTCTCCTGATGATGGCGGTGGTGTCTTTTCACCTGATGATGGCGGTGGTGTCTTTTCTCCTGATGATGGCGGTGGTGTCTTTTCTCCTGATGATGGCGGTGGTGTCTTTTCACCTGATGATGGCGGTGGTGTCTTTTCTCCTGATGATGGTGGTGGTGTCTTTTCTCCTGATGATGGTGGTGGTGTCTTTTCTCCTGATGATGGTGGTGGTGTCTTTTCTCCTGATGATGGTGGTGGTGTCTTTTCTCCTGATGATGGCGGTGGTGTCTTTTCACCTGATGATGGAGGTGGTGTCTTTTCTCCTGATGATGGAGGTGGTGTCTTTTCTCCTGATGATGGAGGTGGTGTCTTTTCTCCTGATGATGGTGGTGGCGTCTTTTCTCCTGATGATGGCGGTGGTGTCTTTTCTCCTGATGATGGTGGTGGTGTCCTTTCTCCTGATGATGGTGGTGGTGTCTTTTCTCCTGATGATGGCGGTGGTGTCTTTTCACCTGATGATGAAGGTGGTGTCTTTTCTCCTGATGATGGAGGTGGTGTCTTTTCACCTGATGATGGAGGTGGTGTCTTTTCTCCTGATGATGGCGGTGGTGTCTTTTCTCCTGATGATGGTGGTGGTGTCTTTTCTCCTGATGATGGCGGTGGTGTCTTTTCTCCTGATGATGGCGGTGGTGTCTTTTCTTCTGATGATGGGAGTGATGTCGGTTCTTCTCCTGATGATTCTTCTGATGATGGTACTTCTGTCGGTTCTGGTAGTTGTTCAGTGGGTGACACGTTGGTAGTGATGGGTACTTCAGTTGGTATCTGTTCTAAGCAGCAAAAACGAACTTCAAAATCGTAGCAGCTTGGTGGGTATTGGTCTTCGTTCCAGCAACTGAATCCCGTGTTCTTGTTACAAGTGGCTTTGAGGCCTAACAACTGCCATTCGTAATCACGGAACCGAATTCCTCGGCAATCAATGTTTCCTACTGAATAGCCGGGCTTACAAACTACTTCGCCTGATTCAACGATTCTTTGGTAGCTTTCAAATTCTCCTCCTTCCGTGCCAGGCGTTGGTTGATGTTTGTTATACCACTCAGACCACGTTCCCGAACAACCTGGTTGTTCTGGTGGTGAGGGTTTCGTTGTTTCCTGCTTCGGAGGTTTAGTGGGTGACACGTGAGTTGTCTCTTCACCTGATGATGGCGGTGGTGTCTTTTCACCTGATGATGGCGGTGGTGTCTTTTCTCCTGAAGATGGAGGTGGTGTTTTTTCTCCTGATGATGGCGGTGGTGTCTTTTCTCCTGATGATGGCGGTGGTGTCTTTTCTCCTGATGATGGCGGTGGTGTCTTTTCTCCTGATGATGGAGGTGGTGTTTTTTCTCCTGATGATGGAGGTGGTGTTTTTTCTCCTGATGATGGCGGTGGCGTCTTTTCTCCTGATGATGGCGGTGGTGTCTTTTCTCCTGATGATGGAGGTGGTGTTTTTTCTCCTGATGATGGCGGTGGTGTCTTTTCTCCTGATGATGGTGGTGGTGTCTTTTCTCCTGATGATGGCGGTGGCGTCTTTTCTCCTGAAGATGGAGGTGGTGTCTTTTCTCCTGATGATGGAGGTGGTGTCTTTTCTCCTGATGATGGCGGTGGTGTCTTTTCTCCTGATGATGGCGGTGGCGTCTTTTCTCCTGAAGATGGAGGTGGTGTCTTTTCTCCTGATGATGGTGGTGGTGTCTTTTCTCCTGATGATGGTGGTGGTGTCTTTTCTCCTGATGATGGTGGTGGTGTCTTTTCTCCTGATGATGGAGGTGGTGTCTTTTCTCCTGATGATGGAGGTGGTGTTTTTTCTCCTGATGATGGCGGTGGTGTCTTTTCTCCTGAAGATGGAGGTGGTGTTTTTTCTCCTGATGATGGAGGTGCTTCAGTCGTGCTTTGTTCTAAGCAGCAAAAACGAACTTCGAAGTCGTAACAGACTGGAGGACTTTGGTCCACGTTTAAGCATCTGAAGCCTGTATCCTTGTTACAAGTGGCTTTGAGCCCTAGCAACTGCCATGCGTAATCAGGGAACTGGGCAGCTCTGCAGTCAATATTTGCCACTACATAACCAGGATTGCAAACAACATTTCCTGAGTTTACGATGTTTTCGTAACTTTCAAATTCTCCTCCTTCACTGCTATACGTTGGCTGATGCACGTTGTTCCACTGAGACCAGGACCCCAAGCAAATTGGTGGTGGGGATTTGGTCGTTTTTGGCTTTGGTGGCTTGGTGGGTGGCACTTGAGTTGGCTCCTTTGGTGGTTTGGTGGGTGGCACCTGGGTTGGCTCCTTGGGTGGTTTGGTGGGTGGTGCATGGGTTGGCTCCTTGGGTGGTTTGGTGGGTGGCACTTGAGTTGGCTCCTTGGGTGGCTTGGTGGGTGGCACTTGAGTTGGCTCCTTTGGTGGTTTGGTGGGTGGCGCCTCGGTTGGCGGTGGCTTTGGACAGTTGCTCACGCAGGTGGAGGAGCCCACCTCTGAGAGCATCTGTCCCTCTGGACAGAAGCAGCCTTCACCCACCCAAGAGTCCTTCTCTTCAGCACTAAACGAGGAAAGAATAACAATTTATTTACACCTGTAAGGCACATTCCATCCTTAGATCCCAATGCTTCAACAATAGAGATCCATAGCGAAATTTTGCACCACACACTTGAATTCTGATACAACCTTTAACGTAATATATGATAACTAGCTGTACTACCCGGCTTCGCCCGGGACTGGATTCACCACGCCTTTGTCCCCCCAGTGGCGATGTTCACACACCACACCAGTTACTCGTTTGAGGCTGAGTCGACCTAGGGGAGGCCCAGGACCGGTTGAAATAGTCATTACCGGTGGTGGCCGTGAGCGGGAATCGAACTCGGGTCGCCGGGTTCGTAGCGCAGCGCGCTACCCGCTACACTACAACGCGTGACGCTTCCACATGCGCGGGTCACGTGACAGATTTGACGTCACAGCTCACATGCTGTGCAAAAAATCTCTGCATTATTGAGCTCCCCCCCCCATGGTGTACAGTCTGGAAAGTACCCACATGGCAAATTTCCAGTTTGTTGCATGTCGGGAAGTACGCTAAACATTTTGAACAGACACACATATTCACAACTTTGCCTTTTATATATATGGAGGTAATCTGGATGCATCGCTTATATGGTTGTTTCAGGCTATCTGACGTAAGTTTGATACTTCAAAATGCATTTGCCGTGCGCCTCTAGTTGGACAGGCGTGGTCTAATTGGGCACAGAATTACACGGACTGCGTCTCGTTTAGAGGAGCCTTGCAAAGCCCGTTCGAGCACTGCAGTTGGCCATGTCATGGCACTGTGGTTATCGTGGGTCTGACGATAGTCCGCATGATGGACGTGAAATTAACGATACTCCGCCAGTCATTGTGGGGTTGGTGCATTGGAAAAGGGAACGTGACCAGTTGAGATTTACTGTATCGTCCTTTCACTGGTGTGAACCTGGGACCACTGGCTTCTTAATAACCACTCACTACTTGCAAATTCGGCAATTGATCGGTTGTCCAAAAGCTCAAAGTAGCATTTATTTCACTGCCAGTCTGCAACCTGTCCCGTTAACAATTATCTGGTGTAGGTTCTTGCAGGAAGGAGGGAAGGAAGGATGGGCGTAGAGGGAGAGTGGGGACGAGGGATTTGTGGGGTGGATGCGATTGTATCACCTGCTGACACCGCACACTTTGGAAATCTTGGCCACGCACGGCTTGTAGACCATGTTGCCAGGGCACTTGAACGCTGCAAGAGTCCAACAAACATCCATGCCGGCGTTAGCAGAAATGTCGTCAATGTCGCTGCTACCGGTCATCGCTCCACATTCAGATGTTGGTGATCAGTGGAGTTATCCAAGGCAACATTTACATCGTGATGTCCATTTAGATGCAAACTCTGCCCATACAGGGAGTGGCCTGTCTCTCATGGTGGCCCCCCTCACTGATTGTCGGCCCTTCCCACTGATCACAGGCTCCACCGACATCTCTGGTAGGTTCCACCCTTACCTCACCATGCATCGAGCATGCCAACACATTATCATTGCACCTTTTTTGGCAGTATCAAAGTATGAAAATAAAAATAGGTTATACGATATCTGGCAGTAAAAGACGCATCAAGATGATAATTGGGTTTTTTTACCCTTCTATCTGGCAACAAAACTGACGCCTTTTTAAAAGGAGTCATGTTTGCATAGACCACAATACCTGCAGTCGTAATGTCTCGGGTGTGGACCAACCAACTTCAAGGACAGTGCATACATTATCAGAGTTGTGTTTTTTGTTTGCATTATGACTGCAGGTATTGTGGTCTATGCAAACATGACTCCTTGTAAAAAAAGGTGTCAGTTTTGTTGCCAGATAGAAGGGTAAAAAAAAACAATTATCATATTTTTGACTGGCAAATGAGGTTCCAATGGTGAGGCATCAAGATGTTCAAGCAGCAAGGAAGTCTGCATTAACCACACGTACTTGTGGTGAACATGCAAACAAGACATGCTCTGATAATATATGGGCATGTCTTTGAAATTGATTGGCATGCACACGAAACAGCCTTCTCTATGGCCTAGTCTCACCAGTGTCAGACCAGAGAAAATTCTCTGGCCTGACACTCGAAATGGGGTTCTTTATACTTCAGCGGTACACGTTAACTCGTCTTACATTTTAACTGCAATTTTACTAAATTACTGACGATTTTTCTCTGGTGCCTCAATATGTACCGCATGGCAGGCATGCTATGGAAAGTACATGATCAAAAAATGACTATAATTATGCCAATATTTGTTACATCAAGCTGGCCAACCTCATGTGCTACTTCCAGAAAGGCATGCCAATGACACTGCTCTACAAAAAAAATATACGGTTCAGGAAATGGCCCCCGTCCCCCCCCCGGGCACGACTCACGGCAATGTCCACGGGACAGCGACCTCCAGTCGACGCACTTCCCCACGCGACCGCACTCCGCCGCGGCGGTCTGCGCGCTGGAGCAGTCGATCTCTGTGCGGTTCACGACGCAGTGGTCGAACTTGCAGCCCTCGTGGTACCCGCTCAGGTCCACGTCGTCCTTGCACGACTTGAGGTTCCTAGCCGAGGGGGGAGGAGGAGGTGGAGGCGATTGAGATGGGTCAATGGCAATGTCCCTCGGGAAACGTAAGTGACCGTGCGAACTTACAATGTGGATTTGTGTTGCGTCTGCACCATGGCCACATCTTAAGATGCTGTGCAGTGACAGTGGGCATAGTTCTCTGATGTGGTTTTGAGTTGTACAGTGTGTTGTTGTTCTAAGGTAAACTATAGACTTAGTTGACCAAGTAAGGCCCACTGGTCTATGTAGCTCTTTTTCAGAAGCAACCTAACCACACATAATGACGGCTCAACGAAGTGGCTTATCATGTGGAACATGTATCTGCAGCCATATACTCTAAACGCATGTTGATTCTAAATGTGGAAAAAAAAACCGGAGGACCAAGAAAAAAATCCACACGACCATGGGGAGCACATGCAAACTCCATGTATACAGCAGGCGTCAGGGTCGGAATCGAACCCACGACTTCCTGTATACCAGGCGAGGTAGTTAACATCTTCTAGCCACCGTGGTGATGATGATGATGAGAGAGAAAGACGCAGACTCCAAATATACAACAACAGGCATCGTCAGGGTCGGGATCGAGCCCACGACCTCCTGTGCACCAGGCGAGGTAGTCAACATCTCACTAGCAACACTGGCTACAGGCATCGTCAGGGTCGGGATCGAACCCACGACCTCCTGTGCACCAGGCGAGGTAGTTAACATCTTCTAGCCACCGTGGTGCTGATGATTATGAGAGAGAGACCCAGACTCCAAATATACAGCAGCAGGCATCGTCAGTGTCGGGATCGAACCCACGACCTTCTGCGTACCACGCAAAAGTAGTTAACATCTCCTAGCCACCGTGGCACCCTCCAAGCAAACTCTGGGCTGGTTTAGAAAACGTCTGGGTTGTAACCAGGTTTGTTCAATGAATGCCTGGATTAGCGGATGTCATTGGCGTGGCCGGGTGTGAAAAAGAGCTTCAAGGTGGATTCCTTCACTATCAATACAGATTCTCATTCTGAACACTCGGACCTCTGAACCAAAGTCCACCAGAAACGTGCCCAGTCGATGCCAGAGGCAGTCTTGCCCCGCGTCTTGCCGTCGCGGCAAGTTGCCACGCAGGGATTGGCCCACCGAGCCCCACGTGCACAATTCAGGACACGCCCCATTAAAGAGCTGGTTTAAAAAAAAAATGGCGTCCAGGGAGCTTGCTCTGCAGTGCGATTGGTGGAGCGAGCGACAGGTAAGCCAAGGTGCGCGAAGTTTAATGAATACCAACATAAAATGATGTCGTTAAATGGCCGTGTCGTACGTTGGAATCAACCTTCATGGATTGTTGACCCATTGGATAATAATGGCGATGAATTTGACGCGTCATTGCGGTTCGATGTTGACGTTGATAATTATTGACGACCTAATGCAACGCGTACGGCTGTCAGCTACGCGATGGTCATCTTGAGCGTTTGTTGTTGCCGTGTTACTATTTTAGTCAATTTTTGGCGTCAAAGTGTAATGTCACAAAACGGCGTTGGAGGCCACTCCCCCCTAGTATGGCCGCAATAAATTAATTCTATTTTACGAGAGCAAAATTATCTTGCTTTGTTAAATCTGAGGTGAACTAATGCATGAATTGCAATCGGAGGGTTGTTGAAACTCCATGAAGGGTGCTGTCCGCCTTCTGCCGTTTGTTCTCTGGACTAACACTGGTTGTGAGTCGAGGCCAGAGATGAGGCTGTAGCTCTGGCAAGGCCGTAGCCACGGAGTGAACATTTGGGGGGCCCAAATCTTCCCGGGGGTCTGGGCCCCCCCCCCCGAGAAATTTTTTTTTTTTATTAAAAAACTAATTTCCCGCCTAAAAATATTTTAAAATTCACTAACACATAGGATGGACTTTTGATAAATTTTATACAATAATGTCTGATAGTGTATTGTATTACATTGCTCTGTTTTTTTCTTTTTTAACCTTTTCTTGTTTCATTGTAATGGCAGAGATTAGGGATTAATAAAGTACAACCATAACCACAATCATAGAAACAGAAATCTATTTTATACCAATATATTGGGGGGGGGGGCATTTTGAGCATATTTGAATACTGGTATATATTATAATTACGACCTTGAGCTCGGGTGTAGGCCAATTAGTTCCAAAGACTGCGATCATTTTTATAATCACCATCAAAGCGTGTTTGTTTGCATGTTTTACCACAGCTAGGATGTGTGGTGCATGCAGACTTGATGATTCCTTGCAATAATGGGGGTCTACTTGCTGTTTGATCATCTTACACAGATGTATTTCGTGCCTTAGTCCAAGGAGAGGAGAGGAGAATATTTAAAGTTGTTTTTATTACACACAGTATACATGCTGTGTGTGTACTGTGTTTGAATTGTAAGCTACAGGCAACTCTGCTGAAGGGATATCTTGTTTTGCTTGATCTGTACGAGGTGTCTGATGTAAGCTGGAGGTTAGTTGTGCATTGCATTGTATGTTAATGGGATGATTTTGAAGTGTTTGATCGCCTTTGACTCCACGGAAATTGCTCGTGTCACGCGGTAGATGCCACATGATGTGAAACGCTCTCGAAGCGACTTATTACTGAGTCACTGAATCAAATTTTCACCGTAAAATCAACCTGAAAGTCATCCCATGGCGGCACAAAGAAGTGAAATGAAGGCAAGCCGCCACTTACTGTACCACTGTACAGTGCAATGTATCACTGCACCACGCACTGTACCACTGTACAGTGCAATGTATCACTGCACCACGCAATGTGTCACTGTACAGTTCAATGTATCACTGCACCACGCACTGTGTCACTGTACCGCGTACTGTATAACTCAGTGCACTGCACCACTGTACTGCACACTGTGTAACTGTACAACGTACGTATCATTCAGTGTACTGTATCACCGCCACATACTGTATCATTCAGTGAACTGTGCCACTATAGCACGTACTGTGTGATTCAGTGTACTGTATCACTATACCAGGTACTGTATCATTCTGTTGTATTGCATCACTATACCACGTACTGTATCATTCAATGTACTGTCATTTTGCTCAGAAAGTATTTTGTCATCATGTACTCAGAAAGTGCATTATAATGGAAGCTTTTCGCATTGTAACGGGTAGCGTTCCACATTATGCAAAAACTGTGCCCTGATGGAAGAGCTGCGTTATAGCGACAAAGCACGTGTGAACACTACGAAGCGTTAAGCGAGGGCTCACGGTACTAGCATAGTAATGTGCCGAGTAAGGAAATGGACGACAATACGGACCAGCCAATAGCTCCGCGCCCTTCGTCGCCGTCTTCCGTACGGCTGCTGACGTAGATTCTAAAGCATCGACTCCCGTGTCACCTTCATCTGGTTAAGCCCAGGTAACGACCGCGTCAGGTGCAAGCGGAGTGGTGCATCGCCAGCTCGCGCCAGAGCTCGCAAATGGGTTTTGATTCCTTTCCTGTACCCGGCCGCACCAGGGTCGCAAACGGGTACCCGTACCCGTACCCTACCGAAACCCGGCTACCCGTACCCGGCCGGGTATCGGGTAGCATACGGGTACCCGATTGCGACCTCTGGGATGAAGCCAGTTGCAGGCGCAGGTGGGTTGATTCTAGGAACTTGAATTGTGAGAAGAGACAAGACGTTGGGAAATGAGTGACAAACGGTGACTCACCGGTGACTCACGGCCTACCCGTACCCGGCCGCACCAGGGTCGCCAACGGCTACCCGTAACCCGGCCGGGTACGGGTAACCGGGTATGGCTTCATCCCAGAGGTCGCAATCGGGTACCCGATATCCGTACGGGTACGGCCGGGTACGGGTATCCGTTTGCGACCCTGGTGTGGCTGGGTACGGGTACGGGTAAGGAATCAAAACCCGTTTGCGACCTCTGTGTCTTACTCGAGGATGAGCGTGTCGCAGATCTTGGCTTCCTTGCAGTCCGAGGGCGGTGGCGGCGGTGGCGGCGTGCAGTCGGTGCCGGGCGGCAGGTCGGGCCTCGCGCACTGCGACCGCCCGTTGCTGATGAGCCAGTCCTGCGCCGTCTTCAAGCAGCACTTGGCGATGCGCGCCACCCCGTCCCGCCCGGCGCAGTCGTCCCCGACGTTGTTGTTGCACATCCCTGGGGAGGTGGACGCATTCCGGTTGATCGTAACGATAATTAGACGAATATTTACATTGGAAAAATTGGCGCGTTTTCATCCGTAGATGCCGGCAATGAATGGTAAACATCAAAGAACTGGTGGTGGTGGTGGTGGTAGTGTTGGTGGTGGGGGGGGCAAAGGAAGTCTGAAAGAGGTGATTTTTCAAGATAGGACTTTAAACTTAGCTAACGATTCTGATTGTCGTATTAGCAAAGGCCGCAAAGGGCTGTTTCAAAAGCTTGGGAGTTGCACTGACAAAACAAACAAACCCCATCACCCCAGGCAGTGAGCCTTGACCTCGGAGTCCTTAAAAGGAGGCTATCGCTTCCTGGAAATACTTGGGGGCTAACCCAATGAGTGTCTTGCGGGTGCAGGGCAGCAGAGTCGGCAGCACCCGGTGTAGATTCAACTCAACATCAGAGCTTGGCTCCGTGAGTCCAGCCTCTTTGTCCAGTCTGCCACACTACATTACATCCAGCGTAAACTCCAACGTGTTTACGGGTGGAACCCCATGTTCGACATTTTGCTACACGTTCTGGGAGTTTTATTTACAAATTTCGTCGATGTTTCTGTGAGAAGAGAATGGAAAACCTCATGCCAAACAACACGAGGTGGGAGAGCAGTGAATGCCGTTCATATCTTAAAATGAGCAGGTAAGTGTTGTTAAGGGTTGTATTGTTTTCATGGGTGGGATTCGGTCAAACTTGTGCCGAATGACAAGCCACCTGTGTTCTTATCTGTTCGCAAGTTGATCTGTTCGTGAGTCCAACTTTACTCCTGTCGATTCCAAACACGTTGTACGTAATGTACACTAAACACGGGGAATGGCTCATTGCTCACCCCGAGGCCTCATGACTTTGATAGTGCATTGTCTTTGAGCTGTACGCCTTTTGGCGTCCTCTGGTCGAGCACCAATTGGGTTGAGGCTCAAAAGAAAGCCGTCCCTTGGTCTGGACCAATCAGTTTTAAGGACAATGCATATATTATCATCGTGTGTTTTTTGTTTGTATTTGACTGCAGGTATTGTGGTTAATGCAGACATGAATCCTCGTAAAAAAGGTTTCAGTTTTGTTGCCAGAAAAAAGGGGAAAAACCCTATTATCACGGGGAATGGCTTTATAAGTTGTGTAACCTCCTGCAGATGTAGATGCCACCACCGCCGTCTATTGTGCAATGGTCCGAACAGGCAACTGGACATACGGGCAAGTTTGTTTGTATCTTTAAAAGTTCGTAAGATAAATGTTCATAAGTAGAGGTGTCCCTGTAGTAGCATGGGCTAGGGAGAAGTTATGGGTTTTAAGGGAGGAACTGAATTAGATTATAGGGAAGATTATTTGTTTTCGTGCAGTGGGATTTGGAGCGAGAAGGGCGAGTGAACAAAACCGTAACTGGGCACAGGGCAAGGGAGGCAGAGAGAAGGGCAGTAGCGATTCCCATCTCTGCCCCTTCCAGAACTCGTTATTCTCTCTCCCTCAGCATCCACATCCCTGTGCCGGACTCCTCACACGCACCCACAAACGTGAACCCCGCGCGACCCCGACGCTCGCGTGACCCCGCGTCCCCCCCACGTACCGCACTGTCCCTCCGTGTTGTCTCCGAACAGCTCCCTGGGCACGTCGATGAGGAAGCCCAGGCCGTTGAACTGGATCTTGACGCGGATGTCGGCGATCACCACGAAGTCGTCCGTCTTCACCGACGTCACCTGGAAGCCCTTGTCGGTGAACGGAGCCTTCTTCGTCTGCCCGTTCAGCTGGATCTGTGGTTGAGATTCGCGCGGAGACGCCCGTGACGTTATTCGAAAATAATTAGGCCAAGGAGAGGCTTCCTCACATTCTGTAACCCCCTTGTTCGGGAGGTTAAGCCAGCTCTGTTCTGTGCCGAGAGGTCCTGACAGTTTGTAATGGTATCAGACAGACTCGGTGTGCTTCACGTCACACGAGACGTGACATAGCACGCGGCGCTGACCTTGCGCAGAGCGAAGTCGACCTCGGAGGCGAGGCCGACGCGCAGCTCGTTGCCCTTGTAGGCGATGATGAGCGTGCGGGGGCACGACACGTGGTTGCGAGCGTCGCAGTCGAAGAAGTCGGCGCTGATGGAGAGGTCGTAGGTCTTCCGCTTCTCCTGCAGCAGCACGTAGCTGCACGGGTCCAGCACGGAGAACTTCGCTCCATCGAACGTGCGCATGTGGGGGTCTCCGAAGCCCGTGCAGAGGCCTGCGTGCGTAAGGGGGTGAAGCGGGTACGGTTGTTAGAGCGAGAGGTTTAGTTCGTTGTGCTTCCCCCCGCACCTACGATTAGCATGGTTGGCTACGTACGGTGCGAAAGAAGTTAAACATACACACGTACGTACCAGGCACCCGTGAAATGCTGGACATTTGTCAAAGAGAAGCTTCATAGCTTATTGGATTCTTCCAGGTAAAATAAATATTCTGATTCTCAGGTAGAGATACGGGTAGACGACCTTCATTTACAACCATCGAAGAAACCGCTTGGGGGGGCGGAGTGTTGGTGCAGTGCACGTTAAACCAGGTGACCAGATTGTGATTTGTGACCATGAATAACACCGGGAGAGAGGCCACTGACAAGTCTCGCGGAGCAATTCACACACAGAGTGTGTACGCGGGAAGAGATTCTTCTCTGGACTTCTCCCGAAAAATCCTTTGCGTGTCATAATCAAGGAGACACCACCGCCATCATCGGGAGAAAAGACACCACCGCCATCGGGAAAAAATACACCACCTCCTTCAACACGAGAAAAGACACCACCTCCATCATCAGCAGATGACGGTCAAAGCGATTTGAAACTACCCCACCTCACCAACACCTTCTACCTTCTACCAGATTCATTCCACAGCTGCAGCTGCTGCACCGTAGGCAAGCGAATCCCAAGGTCTGTCCTTCACAGTATTATCTAAACATAATTGTGGATCGTCATAGATCGGACCTTCGTGAACCAAATACAGCCTGAATATAAATGTCTACGTAAATATTCTTAGTTTTTATTTTTTTCCGGTAAAGTCACGTAGGTTAAAAAAAAATAAGTAGCGCCCATCGGGAGCAGCACTCACAGTCGCATTCCCAGTGGGAGCAGCAGCCGTCGGCGTCGGGCACGCTCACGGCTTTACGTCCAGAGACGCACGTGGGAGGAGGCAGCACCACGCATGGCCTCTTCACGGAGTTGACTGCTGAGCCGAAGCCTACGCACGTGGCCACCATGCAGTTGGGAGCGTTCCACGACTCTCCACGCTGAGGATGAGATAGGGGGGGGGTGGAAGGGGACGGGCACAAACGCAGCCACAGTGTCAGCGTCGACTGCTAGAGCAATGCTAAATAGGCCTCCTTAAGCCACCCCGGCTCTTAGCACCCTCCAATCAAATCATCCATCTAGCATGTGTGCACGAGCTGATTTCGTAGGGACAAGTCGATGGTGAATCGCTTCTTGGGTGTGTTAGTCTCAAATCTTACTACCTTCTGGTTTGTTAAATACACAGCCTCCTCTACTCATGAACAAGATAGGTTCCAAAGGACTGTTCGTAAGTAGATTTGTTTGTGAGTCCAATTTTACCCCTCTCGATTCCAACCGTGTTGTCCAGCATGCACACTAAACATGAGGAATTGCTTTAAGAGTTGTATAATCTCCTATAGATATAGATGCCACTGGTTATTCATGTTCTGCACATGTAGATGCCACTATGGTCATGTATTGCGTGGCAGTTGAACTTACACCTCTTGGTTCGGACAGCTGCAACTGGACAGACGGGACGGGTTTGTTCGTATTTATGGAAGATCTCAAGTCGAACTTTCATAATTAGAGGAGTCCCTGTATCATGAATTGTCCTGTAATTAGTGTAGCCATGTCTTTGGCTGTGGTACAGTGCAATTTGCCTCCCACCAGTTTGTGATATCCTCCTTTAGATATTTCTTAAGGAGAGATATGCATCTTGTCTCTTAAAATTGAGCCAATCTCAGTCCAAATATAACAATTCAATTTGCTTACTCACATTAATTTATTTTATACATATAGCCAAGTATATTACGTGCTTCCTTAAGCGACGAAACGTTACACCACTCATCGTGAATAATGCCCGTCTTATTTCCCCTCCGGTCATCCTCCGACACGAACTGGCGTCGCACGCGGTGGCACGCGGCAGAGGTCGCAAACGGGTTTTGATTCCTTACCCTTACCCGTACCCGGCCTCACCAGGGTCGCAATTGGGTACCCGTACCCTACCCGATACCCGGCTACCCATACCCGGCCGGGTATCGGGTAGGGTACGGGTATTGGGTACCCGATTGCGACCTCTGGGATGAAGCCATGTTGCAGGCGCGGGTGGGTTGATTCTAGGAACTTGAATTGTGAGAAGAGACAAGACGTTGGGAAATGAGTGACAAACGGTGACTCACGAGAGACTCACGGTCTACCCGTACCCAGCCGCACCAGGGTCGCAAACAGGTACCCGTAACCGTACCCGGTTGGGTACGGGTAGCCGGGTATCGGGTAGGGTACGGGTATCGGGTACCCGATTGCGACCTCTGGCACGCGGATAACAATCGGGGTGTGTGGAGAGGGACAGAGGCTTGCCTTTCGTGGTGGGCTCAGAGCATTGCAGTCGTTGCTCGGAGTTGTTGACGCTTTGGTTGTCAACTTGGGTGGAGGCTTGGTGGGCGACACTTTTGTAGTCCGTGGTGGTGGTGGCGGCGGTGGTGGTAGATGTGGTGGTGTTGGTTTAGGTGGTTTTTCAGTGGGTTGATTTTTTGTCGTCTTCACGTGTGGCGGTTTTGTGGGTGACACTTTAGTCGTCTCTTCTTTTGGCGGTGGTGTCTTTTCACCTGATGATGGCGGTGGTGTCTTTTCTCCTGAAGATGGCGGTGGTGTCTTTTCTCCTGATGATGGCGGTGGTGTCTTTTCACCTGATGATGGTGGTGGCGTCTTTTCTCCTGATGATGGAGGTGGTGTCTTTTCTCCTGATGATGGCGGTGGTGTCTTTTCTCCTGATGATGGCGGTGGTGTCTTTTCTCCTGACGATGGCGGTGGTGTCTTTTCTCCTGATGATGGAGGTGGTGTCTTTTCTCCTGACGATGGCGGTGGTGTCTTTTCTCCTGATGATGGCGGTGGTGTCTTTTCTCCTGATGATGGCGGTGGTGTCTTTTCTCCTGATGATGGCGGTGGTGTCTTTTCTCCTGATGATGGCGGTGGTGTCTTTTCTCCTGATGATGGCGGTGGTGTCTTTTCTTCTGATGATGGGAGTGATGTCGGTTCTTCTCCTGATGATTCTTCTGATGATGGTACTTCTGTCGGTTCTGGTAGTTGTTCAGTGGGTGACACGTTGGTAGTGATGGGTACTTCAGTTGGTATCTGTTCTAAGCAGCAAAAACGAACTTCAAAGTCATTACAGCGTGGTGGGAATTGGTCTTCGTTCCAGCAACTGAAGCCCGCCTTCACGTTACAGGTGGCTTTGAGCCCTAACATCTGCCATGGGTAATCCAGGAAATCGGTTGCTCTGCAGTCAATACTTTCCACTGAATAACCAGGCTTGCAAACAACTGCACCTGTGTCCACGATACTTTGGTAGCTTTCAAATTCTCCTCCTTCACTGCCAAGTGTTGGCTGATGCACGTTGTACCACCGAGTCCATGTCTCTGAGCACTCCGGTCGTTCTGGTGGTGAGGGTTTCGTTGTTTCCTGCTTCGGAGGTTTAGTGGGTGACACCTGAGTTGTCTCTTCACCTGATGATGGAGGTGGTGTTTTTTCTCCTGACGATGGCGGTGGTGTCTTTTCTCCTGATGATGGCGGTGGTGTCTTTTCTCCTGATGATGGCGGTGGTGTTTTTTCTCCTGATGATGGAGGTGGTGTTTTTTCTCCTGATGATGGCGGTGGTGTCTTTTCTCCTGATGATGGCGGTGGTGTCTTTTCTCCTGATGATGGCGGTGGTGTCTTTTCTCCTGATGATGGCGGTGGTGTCTTTTCTCCTGATGATGGCGGTGGTGTCTTTTCACCTGACGATGGCGGTGGTGTCTTTTCTCCTGACGATGGAGGTGGTGTCTTTTCTCCTGATGATGGAGGTGGTGTCTTTTCTCCTGATGATGGCGGTGGTGTCTTTTCACCTGATGATGGCGGTGGTGTCTTTTCTCCTGATGATGGCGGTGGTGTCTTTTCACCTGATGATGGCGGTGGTGTCTTTTCTCCTGACGATGGAGGTGGTGTCTTTTCTCCTGACGATGGCGGTGGTGTCTTTTCTCCTGATGATGGCGGTGGTGTCTTTTCTCCTGATGATGGCGGTGGTGTCTTTTCTCCTGATGATGGTGGTGGTGTCTTTTCTCCTGATGATGGCGGTGGTGTCTTTTCTCCTGATGATGGAGGTGGTGTCTTTTCTCCTGATGATGGCGGTGGTGTCTTTTCTCCTGAAGATGGCGGTGGTGTCTTTTCTCCTGATGATGGCGGTGGTGTCTTTTCTCCTGACGATGGCGGTGGTGTCTTTTCTCCTGATGATGGCGGTGGTGTCTTTTCTCCTGATGATGGCGGTGGTGTCTTTTCTCCTGATGATGGCGGTGGTGTCTTTTCTCCTGATGATGGAGGTGGTGTCTTTTCTCCTGATGATGGTGGTGGTGTCTTTTCTCCTGACGATGGCGGTGGTGTCTTTTCTCCTGATGATGGTGGTGGTGTCTTTTCTCCTGACGATGGCGGTGGTGTCTTTTCTCCTGATGATGGTGGTGGTGTCTTTTCTCCTGATGATGGCGGTGGTGTCTTTTCTCCTGATGATGGAGGTGGTGTCTTTTCTCCTGATGATGGCGGTGGTGTCTTTTCTCCAGATGATGGCGGTGCTTCGGTCGTGCTTTGTTCTAAGCAGCAAAAACGAACTTCGAAGTCGTAGCAGATTGGAGGACTCTGGTGCTCATTTAAGCATCTGAAGCCTGAATCCTTGTTACAAGTGGCTTTGAGCCCTAGCAACTTCCATGAATATTCAGGGAACTGGACAGCTCTGCAGTCAATATTTGCCACCGAATAGCCAGGACTGCACACAACATTTCCCGAGTTCACGATGTTTTCGTAACTTTCTAATTCTCCTCCTTCACTGCCAAACGTTGGCTGATGCACGTTGTTCCACTGAGACCAGGACCCCAAGCAAATTGGTGGTGGGGATTTGGTCGTTTCTGGCTTTGGTGGCTTGGTGGGTGGGGCATGGGTTGGCTCCTTGGGTGGTTTGGTGGGTGGCACTTGAGTTGGCTCCTTTGGTGGCTTGGTGGGTGGGGCATGGGTTGGCTCCTTGGGTGGTTTGGTGGGTGGCGCCTCGGTTGGCGGTGGCTTTGGACAGTTGCTCACGCAGGTGGAGGAGCCCGCCTCTGAGAGCATCTGTCCTTCTGGACAGAAGCAGCCTTCGCCCACCCAGAAGTTCTTCTCTTCACCACTAAAAGAAACACAGACAATGGAGATCCATTGTGAACTTCCGTAGCAACGATGCTCGAACGTCCATCCATTTCTAATGGACGCAAAAAGCTCTACACTTTAAGTCCGATACAACTTCGAAGCGATATGCTACAATATTGCAGATGCATACCTAAAATGTGTGTTTTAACCTGTTCGACACAAACTCTTTTGTTCTTTCGGTAAAGTCACGTAGTTAGAAATATAATAAAATAAAACAAATCACGACGTTTCGATTGCAACACAAGCAATCATCATCACCACCATCATCAGGTGAAAAGTGCCACCCACTACGTGACTTTACCGAAAGAACCAAAGAGTATGGATTCCTGCAGTCACGAAAGGTTCAAATCAAAATTGTTCGAAACAAGTTTGACATTTCATAATTCACTTACCGTGTGACTAAAGTTGGGCAAGCATGGTCTAATTGGGCACTCTCTCGTCCACTCAGCAAAAAATGTGCAACTGCATTACATACAGCAGTGAGGCCTCACTAATAACTTGATACAGCAAATCTGGCTGTGACGGTCCCACCTGATGACGGAGACTTGTGTTGCCTCCGAAACGTCGTGATTTTTATTATTTTATTTTATTAGTTTGAATTTCAATATTTTTTACCTACGTGACTTTACCGAAAAAACTAAGAGTACAAGTTAGCAATGACCAATTCGGTATTTAATTGGCTGGCAAAAAATATTTCAAAGTGGCATTTTACTTTGACGACAGGTCTGCAAACTTTCTCGCCTAACAATTCTCTGGTGTGGGTTCATGTGGGAAGGAAGGAATGTTGGGGATTGCTATTGGCTCGGGCTTAGAAGGTAGGAGATCAGAGGGAGAGTGGTGATGAGGGAGGTGGGGTGGATGCGATTGTATCACCTGCTGACACCGCACACTTTGGAAATCTTGGCCTCGCACGGCTTGTAGACCATGTTGCCAGGGCACTTGAACGCTGCAATAGTCCAACAAACATCCATGCCGGCGTTAGCAGAAATGTCGTCAATGTCGCTGCTACCGGTCAGCGCTCAACATTCAGAAATTGGTCTTTGGGTTATTTCCTTTCCAACTAGTTCATGCCATCATGAGTGGAGCACTTGTTCAGGGGATACTTTAGGTTTTTAAATAGTTTATTCCAATTTGTTCAGAATGCGGTCTATACCGTATGATTTTTTAACATTGTTTATGAACCGCAATCTCTTCCTTGCTGAGCAGTTACCTCAAACACAACATTTTCTCTGAGAAGCAATGGGTGGGAGACATGTTATGGATAATATATAAATGTATAATGCGCATTCCATCTGAGGATACCAATGTGCAATGCATGAAAATCAGGAAACAAAAATTTTATCAGGGGCCACCGACCAAACTAAAGAGGTAAGGCTCAGTTTAAAGAGATGGGGTTTTCAAAGCACACTTGAATATATCTACCGACTCTGCCTGATTTCAAGTGGCAAGGGATTCCATAACTAGGGTGCCATGCTAACAAAAGCCCCATCACCAAAAGAGCACAACTTAGACCTGGGAGTAAGATAAGACAACGTCGATCATTTTAAAAAAAATGATCATAGTGATGTGAAGCAGGCCAGCCTCATGTACTGCTTACAGAAAGTTGGCCAGACATTTTGGCACTCGGAACAAGGTGCCAATGACACTACCCTAAAAGGGGAAAAAACAACCAAAACATGACAGCCAACGTCTTCTTGGTTCTTTCGGTAAAGTCTAACCCAGCAGCTTAAATATACGCTGCCAAGCCTGGTGGTGCTCATTCAGATGCTGTCTTTCCGACAGACCTGTTCTTCACCTGAGGACGGCTGCTTGCGTTGTGGCCGAAACGTCGTGAGAATTATTTTATTATGTTTTATTTTTATTATTTTATTATTTCCCTTCTATGTGACTTTGCCGAAAGAACCAAGAAGATGAATCCCTGCTGCAGTCACGAAAGCTTTAAATCGAAATGTAACTCACTCTTTGTTGTTGTTGTTGTTGTCGTATCCTCAAATCTTGTAACTCAATTTTAACCCACTTCCCAATGTGGTATCGACATGACAGCCAACGGTTTAGGAAATGCCCCCCCCCCCCCCCCCGGGCACAACTCACGGCAATGTCCGCGGGACAGCGACCTCCAGTCGACGCACTTCCCCACGCGACCGCACTCCGCCGCGGCCGTCTGCGCGCTGGAGCAGTCGATCTCTGTGCGGTTCACGACGCAGTGGTCGAACTTGCAGCCCTCGTGGTACCCGCTCAGGTCCACGTCGTCCTTGCACGACTTCAGGTTCCTAGCCGAGGGGGGAGGAGGAGGAGGTGGAGGCGATTGAGATGGGTCAATGACAATGCCTCCCAGGAAACAATGTGGTACCCTACCCGTACCCGGCCGGGTATGGGTAGGGTACGGGTCTGGCGGGTACGGGTACGGGTACCCGTTTGCGACCCTGGTGCGGCCGGGCACGGGTACGGGTAAGGAATCAAAACCCGTTTGCGACCTCTGTGTCTTACTCGAGGATGAGTGTGTCGCAGATCTTGGCTTCCTTGCAGTCCGAGGGCGGTGGCGGCGGCGGCGTGCAGTCGGTGCCGGGCGGCAGGTCGGGCCTCGCGCACTGCGACCGCCCGTTGCTGATGAGCCAGTCCTGCGCCGTCTTCAAGCAGCACTTGGCGATGCGCGCCACCCCGTCCCGCCCGGCGCAGTCGTCCCCGACGTTGTTGTTGCACATCCCTGAGGAGGTGGGGGTCGACGGATTAGCGCGGTGGAGGGCAGCAGAGTTGTTTGTGCTCGGGGTAGATTCAACTCGACGTCGGTATTGGCTCGGCGAAGCCAACCTCTTTGTCCAGTCTGCCATACTGTCTCAACTGGGATTGGTTCTACCTTGCTCCGGCTTCAACGCTGCTAAACCTGAAGTCATCCTCTCCGATGTGATTTCGGGTTGTGCCCCATGTCGTTTGCCATGATATCTAGCCACGTGGCGAATTGCCCGATGATGCTGGATGCAATTACCAGCGAAACGTCGCGCTACTCAAATTGTAAATGTTGTGGTTTCACGCTTCAACACACCGGTGGGCTAAAGCAGTGAACTATTTGTCTTTTGTCAACGTGACACTTTTTTACTGATTGGCTGTGTCGGGTGGTGGAGGGTTACGACACATTTCTACACCATCACCGTCTACACCGTCTACACCGTCTACACCGTCACCGTCCCCACGTACCGCACTGTCCCTCCGTGTTGTCTCCGAACAGCTCCCTGGGCACGTCGATGAGGAAGCCCAGGCCGTTGAACTGGATCTTGACGCGGATGTCGGCGATCACCACGAAGTCGTCCGTCTTCACCGACGTCACCTGGAAGCCCTTGTCGGTGAACGGAGCCTTCTTCGTCTGCCCGTTCAGCTGGATCTGTGGTTGAGATTCGCGCGGAGACGCCCGTGACGTTATTCGAAAAAATGCAGGCAAAGGAGAGGCTTCCTAACGTCCGAAAGAAAGATATCATCATGCCCCAAAGAGAGATTTCCTCACATGTTTGTGTGAGCTCAGTTTTGTACTTGAGAGCTCATTAGAGTCTGTAATCAATTAAACTTTATTCAATATCACGCCATTCACAATAGATTAGTCACAGGGCGCTGCACAACGTAAGGCATTGAGCTGCAGAACATTACAGCTCATCCAATGTTTGATGTCAGAAAAGCTAAATGGAGACTAGGCTCTAAGAAAAGCTGTCTCGGGTGTGGACCAATCAACTTCAAGGACAGTGCATATCATTATCATCATCAGAGTTGTTTCTTTTTGTTTGCATTTTGACTGCTTGTGTTGTGGTTATTGCAAACATGATGCCTTGTATAAAGGTGTCAGTTTTGTACCAGTTGAAAGGGTAAAAACCTACTACTACTTTTTAAAGAGCCTTCATTATCACCGACCTCCCCGTCAGCTCAGATGTACAACTGAGCATCATATGAACGACAAGACATCCCGTGCTCATGTATCAAAGATGGAAGTGTGCAGTATGTCGATGCCGAAAAGTAACAGGCCTTACGCAGAACCCCGGGGGTTACTCCACATGAACATTTTTTGTTTAGGCGAGCCTTGACCACAAAGACGTGAACGCTACCAGACAGACCCGATGTGTTTCACGTCACACGAGACGTGACGTAGCGCGCGGCGCTGACCTTTCGCAGGGCGAAGTCGACCTCGGAGGCGAGGCCGACACGCAGCTCGTTGCCCTTGTAGACGATGATGAGCGTGCGGGGGCACGACACGTGGTTGCGAGCGTCGCAGTCGAAGAAGTCGGCGCTGATGGAGAGGTCATAGGTCTTCTGCTTCTCCTGCAGCAGCACGTAGCTGCACGGGTCCAGCACGGAGAACTTCGCTCCGTCGAACGTGCGCATGTGGGGGTCTCCGAAGCCCGTGCAGAGGCCTGCGTGGTGTAGAGAGGACAAAAGCTCATGCTGACCAGTTCCTTAAAAAAAATGTATCGGAGGCGGCAGAAGGCAGCAGTCAGTGGCTCTGGATGAAGAGGAAAGACCCCAGCTGGGCCCCGAAGTGAGAGGGCCAGGAGGTATGCGGTCAACAATGCTTGACTCAGGGAGGAGGACGCCCCTGCCATGCATAGTCCCATGGGATGTTGGCTATCAACAACAAGGCAACTCCTATGGACTAATTGGGAATGGGACGCAAGCGTAGGATTGATCACCCTAACGCTGGCCGCCTTTGGGGAGGGTGTATAGTATGAAAGGCCGAAACACCCTAGGAACCAAAGGTACACTACTGACGATGCGCTCCCCAAATTTCACCAGGCTCACTGTTCATGAACTCTTGGGAGTGCTTGCACAAAGGATAGTAACATCTCATCCTGTGTTCTTGGAATGAACATAATTCGTCTTTTATATTAAATCTCTTCCTACCATTCGGCCCACTGTTCCAACACAACTGCAGATATCTGATTTCTCTGTTCTCTGAGTTCCCACAATCAGACGTTGCTTTGTTGATTGTGCTCGTTCCAAACCAACCTTATCGCAACACGAGCGGTCGTCATCGAAACGTCATAGTTTTAGATATTTTCTTTGAACCTATCTACGTGACTTTACCGAAAGACCCAAAGAATATGAATTCCTTCGGTCACGAAAGCTTCAAGTCGAGATTTAACTCATTCCCCCTTGTTCAGTGGACATGCCGCACAACACGTTTGCGATCGACAGGAGTAAAGTTGGACTTACGGACAAATCGACTTGCGAACAGACCTTTGAAGCCTAACTCGTTCGTAAGTAGAGGTAGTAGTCCCTGTATCTATATACGTTTACGTGTGTAATGTGAGGATATATCCGGCTCACTGACGTATCACAACTCGTCATGATGATTGGCTCTGCCGGTCCTGGTTTATAGCCAATGGGGGGAAGCCTAGGGGCGTGGCCCTGACGTAATGGAAAGGTGACAGCTGTAAGTAGAGGATTGGTTCTGCTGGCTTTGGCCTCAGCCAATGGGGAGACAAGTCAGGGGCGTGGTCCCGGGAGCCTACGATGGAGTCTGGAAGATTCCATGGAGGCTAACCAGGATTGGTGGAAACGTACCACGTGACCCGGGTATTAAATAGGGGTGGAGACGAACGACACGTGGTCAGAACGGGAACGAACGGTGGAAGGGGCCACGCGTGAGCGGGGCTCCGGGTTGCCACGTGGTCCAGGCTGCCACGTGGTCCAGGTTGCCACGTGGTCCAGGTTGCCACGTGGCAGTGCGTCTCTCTCTGTCTATCTGTCCCTCTCACGCTGCCTGTCAGCAGCGTGAAGGAAAGCTGTAATGCAAGTTGAATAAAAGACCGGATTCCAGAAGTCGCCTCAACGACCTTTATTACACGCGTGTGTGTGTGGATCTTCTCTCGTTAGCCCCACTCACAGTCGCATTCCCAGTGGGAGCAGCAGCCGTCGGCGTTGAGCACGCTCACGGCTTTACGTCCAGAGACGCACGTGGGCGGAGGCAGCACCACACAGGGCCTCTTCACCATGTTCACCACTGAGCCGAAGCCTACGCACGTGGCCACCATGCAGTTGGGAGCATCCCACGACTCTCCACGCTGAGGATGGGGTGGGGGGGGGAAGAGGGGGTGGCACGAACACAGTCACTGGGTCAGCACCGATGCTACAAAGTCCTCCCTGAGTCCTCACCAGGGAGTTTGGTAATACATTTACGTCATTTATTTAGAAAATTCGGTCACAGTTCCTATGATCATTGTTTCATTGCTTTTATGGCTTTATTTTGGTGATTTTCGAAAAGTGTTTTGGTTTGGCCATGTTTGTGTTGTTGTAGTACAGAGACTGATGGCCTTGATCTAAGTTGTCTTGAGGTTGTTGTTGTTTGACTTGCATCCCACTGGGATTTTTGCACACAGTTTTGGTGTGTACGGTGCTTTTTCTGCAATATTTTGCTGTCTTTTCTTGGATTTTCTGTTTGCACTCAGTCACATATTCACTTTAAGATGTTTTTTGTTCATGTTTTAGTTTTTTTGTTTGTTGCGGTTGCACCCGATTCAAGAGCCGAATTGCTCACAGGTCTAGACCTAATAAATGAAACTTGAAACTTGAAACCATCTCTGACCGCCCTGCACAAGCCGGTTGCATCACGACGTGCCAGAATCAAGTCAGCCTCATTCCTCATTTCACAATTAGACCATCAGTTTTGGCCGGTCTGCTTTCATTTGTGAGCGACTTGTTTACCTGTTTTCTATCTTGCTGTTATGTTGGGGTTTGATTGTATTTCTTGTTGATAAAATTCGCTGACCCAATGCCCCAGGCTGGACATCTGTGAAAGAGCTTCATGGCTCATAGGATGGATCCCTCCTCCAGTCAAAATAAAGGTTCTGATTCAGCGAGAAAGATTCTGATTTCGCACCATGCCCAGAGTAAAAAGCCACTAGTCACGATACTCGTAATGATGAACTAAATCTGCCCATAAAATTCGCTCTATCGTGTTCACGATAAATATTTACGTTACAAAAACGTGCCGTCACTCGTCGTGAATAATGCCCGTCTTGTTTCCCCTCCTGTCATCCTCCGACACGAACTGGCGTCACACGCATTGGGGTTACACGGAAAACAATCGGGGTGTGTGGAGAGAGGGTCAGGGGCTTGCCTTTCGTGGTGGGCTCAGAGCACTGCAGTCGTTGCTCTGAGTTGTTGATGCCGTGGTAGTCAACTTGGGTGGAGGCTTGGTGGGCGACACTTTTGTAGTCCGTGGTGGTGGCGGCGGTGGTGGTAAATGTGGTGTTGGTTTAGGTGGTTTTTCAGTGGGTTGATTTTTAGTCGTCTTCACGTGTGGCGGTTTCGTGGGTGACACTTTAGTCGTCTCTTGTTTTGGTGGTGGTGTCTTTTCTCCTGAAGATGGCGGTGGTGTCTTTTCTCCTGACGATGGCGGTGGTGTCTTTTCTCCTGACGATGGTGGTGGTGTCTTTTCTCCTGATGATGGCGGTGGTGTCTTTTCTCCTGATGATGGCGGTGGTGTCTTTTCACCTGATGATGGCGGTGGTGTCTTTTCACCTGATGATGGCGGTGGTGTCTTTTCACCTGATGATGGCGGTGGTGTCTTTTCTCCTGACGATGGCGGTGGTGTCTTTTCTCCTGATGATGGCGGTGGTGTCTTTTCTCCTGATGATGGCGGTGGTGTCTTTTCACCTGATGATGGCGGTGGTGTCTTTTCACCTGATGATGGCGGTGGTGTCTTTTCACCTGATGATGGCGGTGGTGTCTTTTCTCCTGATGATGGCGGTGGTGTCTTTTCTCCTGATGATGGCGGTGGTGTCTTTTCTCCTGATGATGGCGGTGGTGTCTTTTCTCCTGATGATGGCGGTGGTGTCTTTTCTCCTGATGATGGCGGTGGTGTCTTTTCTCCTGATGATGGCGGTGGTGTCTTTTCTCCTGATGATGGAGGTGGTGTCTTTTCACCTGATGATGGCGGTGGTGTCTTTTCTCCTGATGATGGCGGTGGTGTCTTTTCTCCTGATGATGGCGGTGGTGTCTTTTCTCCTGATGATGGAGGTGGTGTCTTTTCTCCTGATGATGGAGGTGGTGTTTTTTCACCTGATGATGGCGGTGGTGTCTTTTCACCTGATGATGGCGGTGGTGTCTTTTCTCCTGATGATGGAGGTGGTGTCTTTTCACCTGATGATGGCGGTGGTGTCTTTTCACCTGACGATGGCGGTGGTGTCTTTTCTCCTGATGATGGCGGTGGTGTCTTTTCTCCTGAAGATGGCGGTGGTGTCTTTTCTCCTGATGATGGCGGTGGTGTCTTTTCTCCTGATGATGGCGGTGGTGTCTTTTCACCTGACGATGGCGGTGGTGTCTTTTCTCCTGATGATGGCGGTGGTGTCTTTTCTCCTGATGATGGAGGTGGTGTCTTTTCACCTGATGATGGCGGTGGTGTCTTTTCACCTGACGATGGCGGTGGTGTCTTTTCTCCTGATGATGGCGGTGGTGTCTTTTCTCCTGATGATGGCGGTGGTGTCTTTTCTCCTGATGATGGCGGTGGTGTCTTTTCTCCTGAAGATGGAGGTGGTGTCTTTTCTCCTGATGATGGAGGTGGTGTCTTTTCTCCTGATGATGGCGGTGGTGTCTTTTCTCCTGATGATGGCGGTGGTGTCTTTTCTCCTGATGATGGCGGTCGTGTCTTTTCTCCTGATGATGGAGGTGGTGTCTTTTCTCCTGATGATGGCGGTGGTGTCTTTTCTCCTGATGATGGCGGTGGTGTCTTTTCTCCTGATGATGGCGGTGGTGTTTTTTCTCCTGATGATGGAGGTGGTGTCTTTTCTCCTGATGATGGTGGTGGTGTCTTTTCACCTGATGATGGCGGTGGTGTCTTTTCACCTGACGATGGCGGTGGTGTCTTTTCTCCTGATGATGGCGGTGGTGTCTTTTCTCCTGATGATGGCGGTGGTGTCTTTTCTCCTGATGATGGCGGTGGTGTCTTTTCTCCTGATGATGGCGGTGGTGTCTTTTCTCCTGATGATGGCGGTGGTGTCTTTTCTCCTGATGATGGCGGTGGTGTCTTTTCTCCTGATGATGGTGGTGATGTCTTTACTTCTGGCGGTGGAGGCGGTGTGTTTTCCGGCGGCTTAACCTCCGTCACTTTCACGGGAGGCTCAAGGGTTGAGAAAATCACCGGCCTCGTCATCGGTGTTGTTAGGATGATGGAGGTTGGCGCGGAAGTGGCTATGCAGTACTGGTTGTAGTCCACGTGGCCACCGGGGGTACACAATGTGAGGTACGTGCAGACTCCAACGCTGTCCGTTTCGTTCGCGATTACTCCTCCCAGGTCGTACAACTGTCCATCGTAACAGCAGCCGGCTGAATGATAAAACAACGACAGCAGTCCAGTAAGCTCGGGGCCAGCGGTGTGCGTGCATTGTCACGCGATCAGGTGCAGATTCACGCGAAAGCTGGGAATATGAACACCCGCGAGGCAAGGAGGAACACAGAGAATCTTTCCCACTGCAGGAAGGAGACCCCCTGTGACCGTGGGGTGGATGCCGCAAGGACTTAGATGAAGATGGCGGGGAGAAAGGATAGAGAGGCGAAATCCAGGAGGTTGGAGGCTACTACTGGACAGGGACAACCAAGGAAACGAATAAATGAAAATATAATTTCGAGGCTTTTTCCCCAGCAGTGTATGTATGTACGTTGAACTTCCATAGTAGAGATTTTCTTTGGGGGTTGGATCGCGTAGATATGAATGTGTCGTTAAACCCACCAGCACCCGACACAGCCAACTAGTAAGGTTTGTCACGTAAACACAACATGCCAATTTGCTACAAGTACAGCACTAACCGGCTTGTTGGAGAGCAAATCCACAACGTGTGCACAGCTGTGCTCGTGACGAATTGGCGTGTTCCGTTGATGTGACAAACCTTACTAATTGGCTGTCGGGTGGTGGTGGTGGGTTAAACGACACATTGATATTTACGCGATCTAACCCATAAAAAAACGATATTATGACTTATATTGGTCGCGGAAGCCTATATTCTATAATGTTGAACTTCATTTCACAGTTTTTCTTCGATTTAAAGCTTTCGTGACTGCAGGGATTCATCTTCTTGGTTCTATCGGTAAAGTCACATAGAACGGAAATAATACAATAATAAAAATAAAACATGATAAAATACAATTCTCACGTTGAAAATTGTATTTTATTATGTTTTGATAAAAAAATAAAACATAATAAAATACAATTCTCACGGTGAGAATTGTATTTTATAACGTAGTATTTTTTTATTATTTTTTTATTTCCCTTCTACGTGACTTTACCGAATGAACCAAGAAGAAGGTTCATTTCACAGCTTGCGTAGCCAACCGTGGCTAATCGGAGGCGTAGAGGAATGCCAACAAAAAACTAAACACAACAAGACCGTTTCAGCAGCAGACTTCAGCCAGACAGAACCAGGAAAGTTACAAACACGCGGGCCGGATTGTCTCGCTCTGCGTCTCGTTACGCAACAGCTCCCCGCATGTTTCAAGACCAAGCCCCATAGCCCGGCCCTTACCTGGTTCGGAGCAGGTCAGGTTGGCGTTCTCGCACGTGCTGTAGGGAAACAGAACAAGCACGGGGCCGTCACTCAGTGGTGCGTCCTTTGGGGCCGTCCATAAATGACGTCACGCGATTTTGGACGATTTTTGACCCCCCCTCTCCCCCCCACCCGTTCGTCACACGGCGTCACAAAAAGTCAGACCCCCCGCTCAAATATGACGTCACAAAGCTCTGCCCCCCCCCCCAAAAAAAAGATAAAAAATGCTTCAAATCGCTTTAAACTATTGTCATTGTAGTGCGTATTTGATGTAGCGCTGCACTCTGATGTAGGAGAAAACATCTATTACAAAGTCTGTTTGCATAGACCACAATACCTGCAGCCATAATGCAAACAAAAAACATAACTCTGATAATATATGCACAACATGACTCCTTGTAAAAAAAGGTGTCAGTTTTGTTGCCAGATAGAAGGGTAAAAAAACAATTATCATATTTTTTTCACTGGCAAATGAGGTTCCAATGACACAATTATATTTAAGCGATCTGATCCAAACCCCCCTCCCCCCCTTTACTGTTAAATAAAATGGAGGCTCTAGAATTGGTGTTGTCACAACTTCTCCTGCGCGTTGACAATGACGGCCTTGGTAAACTCACCAGATTTGGCAGGTCTCCGACAGAGTGATCTCTCCACCGGCTGGAATTTCTTGGTCTCCGAAGAAGCAGCTGCATTCCTCTTTGCGCACACAGCGCATCGTGTTCTCATCCAGGTACGGTGACTCGGACGGGCAGTGCGGGAAGCATCCTGTGTTAAAACACAGATATCGTGAGCACATTCTGTGTTAAAACACGGATATCGTGAGTATCCTGTGTTAAAACACGGATATCGTGAGTACATCCCGTGTTAAAACACGGACATCGTGAGTGTATCCTGTGTTAAAACACAGACATTGTGAGTGCATCCTGTGTTAAAACACGGATATCGTGAGTATCCTGTGTTAAAACACAGATATCGTGAGCACATCCTGTGTTAAAACACAGATATCGTGAGTGTATTCTGTGTTAAAACACAGACATCGTGAGTGCATCCTGTGTTAAAACACGGATATCGTGAGTATCCTGTGTTAAAACACGGATATCGTGAGTACATCCCGTGTTAAAACACGGACATCGTGAGTGTATCCTGTGTTAAAACACAGACATTGTGAGTGCATCCTGTGTTAAAACACGGATATCGTGAGTATCCTGTGTTAAAACACAGATATCGTGAGCACATCCTGTGTTAAAACACAGATATCGTGAGTGTATTCGGTGTTAAAACACAGACATCGTGAGCGCATCCTGTGTTAAAACACGGATATCGTGAGACGTGATGCATCATTGGCCTGGTGTTTGACGGTGTCCTCACGCTGTTGATGGCTACACCCGTCTCCCCTGAGGAAGAACATCAAGGTGAGAAAAGAAGGTGCGATTCTGCCGTGCGGCCCTAGTGAGTGCCCAGCGACGCACCTTCCATGGCGGGCAGGGGGATGGCGCCGGCCTGCGCCCGCTCCTTGCAGGTGAGCGGCAGGTTCCCGCACGGGCTGTAGTGCCACGTGCAGTCGCCGTCGTCCTGGTCGAAGAAGTCGCAGAACACCGCTGCAAGGGGAAGAGCGCACGGGAGGGAAGTACCGCACGTTGGATCTGCCTCCAGTGCACAAGAGTCGGACCGATTGGACATAGAAGCTGGCCTGATGATGAAAATGAAAAAAACACTAAAAACACTAAAACCCCCCAAAAAACGAAAAAAACCTAAAAAACTGTAAAAACCGAAAAAAACTAAAAAACACTAAAAACCGAAAAACCATAAACACTAAAAAACTGAAGAAATACTCAAAAACTCAAAAAACTGAAATTTTACCCAAAAACCACTAAAAATCGAAAAAACCCCCAAAAACACTAAAAACTGAAAAAATACCTCGAAACCAAAAAAATGAAAAAATACCCCAAAACAACTAAAACCCGAATAAATACCCAAAAGACACCAAAAACCGAAATAAAAACCATAAAGCACTAAAAAACGAAAAAACACCAAAAACCGAAAAAAAAACAAAAAGCTAAAAACCGATGACGTGGGCAGTGACGGGGAAGAAACCGGCAACTATTTGGACGGGCATATGGAGAATGGGCAACAACAGGAACATTGCGAGTGTTGCTGTGGTTCGGAAAAATGGATGATACCTTGAAGAGAGAAAGACTTTTAACAGAGAATGGATTGAGGACATCGACCTAAGAGATCGGTGCCAGGAAGATGTGGCCACTACTTGAGCCATATTGGCACAAGACGGAGAATAGAAACACATGGCGAAGTGTGCAGTGGACACCAATGGGCCCAAGGCTCACAACGATGATGATGATGATGTGCTGAGTAGCTGCGAGCGACTTGCTCCGAGGAAAGTTGCTCAACGATCGAAACTTAACGTGACTCCACAAGCAAGGCACTTAACGAGTCAAAGCGTCACCATTGGAACCTCATTTGTCAGTAAAAAATATGATAATTGTTTTTTTTACCCTTCTATCTGGCAACAAAACTGACACCTTTTTTACAAGGAGTCATGTTTGCATAGACCACAATACCTGCAGTCATAATGCAAACAAAAAACATAACTCTGATAATGATATGCACTGTCCTTGGTGCTTTCGGTAAAGTCATCACGTAGAAGGGAAATAATAAAATAATCAAAATAAAACATAATAAAATACAATTCTCACGACATTTCGGCCGCAACGCAAGCAGCCGTCCTCAGGTGAAGAACAGGTCTGTCTTCTCAACAGACCTATTCTTGCCAGTAAAAAATATGACAGACCTATTCTTCACCTGAGGACGGCTGCTTGCGTTGTGGCCGAAACGTCGTGAGAATTATCGTATTATGTTTTATTTTTATTATTTTATTATTTCCCTTCTACGTGATGACTTTACCGAAAGAACCAAAAAGATGATTCCACAGTAACGTCGGTGCCAAGAGCCGGCAGCACCGCCCGGCGCTAACCGGACGCGGTTGGGGTCGCGTCCACTCACGGCAGCGGTCGGGCGTCCTCCACTTGACGCAGATGCCGGCCTCGTTGCAGGCCTGGGCGTAGGACGCCACGGCGGTGCAGAAGCACTCGCAATCGCCGCCCGAGTCGCAGGCGCACGAGTCGCGCACGCACGCCTCGAAGAAGGGAGCGCGGTCCACCTGGTGGGGTCAGGGTGAGAGGTAGATACGGGGTCATTGTTAGAGATGGGGTGAGGGTTAGAGGCTGGGTGAGCGTTAGAGACTGGGTGAGGGTTAGAGGCTGGGTCAGGATTAGAGACTGGGTCAGGGTTAGAGACTGGGTGAGGGTTAGAGACTGGGTCAGGGTTAGAGACTGGGTGAGGGTTAGAGACTGGGTGAGGGTTAGAGGCTGGGTGAGGGTTAGAGGCTGGGTAAGGGTTAGAGACTGGGTCAGGGTTAGAGACTGGGTGAGGGTTAGAGGCTGGGTGAGGGTTAGAGGCTGGGTGAGGGTTAGAGGCTGGGTGAGGGTTAGAGGCTGGGTCAGGATTAGAGACTGGGTCAGGGTTAGAGACTGGGTGAGGGTTAGAGACTGGGTGAGGGTTAGAGACTGGGTGAGGGTTAGAGGCTGGGTGAGGGTTAGAGGCTGGGTCAGGATTAGAGACTGGGTGAGGGTTAGAGGCTGGGTGAGGGTTAGAGACTGGGTGAGGGTTAGAGACTGGGTCAGGGTTAGATGCTGGGTGAGGGTTAGAGGCTGGGTCAGGATTAGAGACTGGGTCAGGGTTAGAGACTGGGTGAGGGTTAGAGACTGGGTCAGGGTTAGAGACTGGGTGAGGGTTAGAGACTGGGTGAGGGTTAGAGGCAGGGTGAGGTTTAGAGACTGGGTGAGTGTTAGAGACTGGGTGAGGGTTAGAGACTGGGTGAGGGTTAGAGGCAGGGTGAGGTTTAGAGACTGGGTCAGGGTTAGAGACTGGGTGAGGGTGAGAGACTGGGTGAGGGTTAGAGACTGGGTGAGGGTTAGAGGCTGGGTGAGGGTTAGAGACTGGGTGAGGGTTAGAGACTGGGTGAGGGTTAGAGGCAGGGTGAGGTTTAGAGACTGGGTCAGGGTTAGAGACTGGGTGAGGGTGAGAGACTGGGTGAGGGTTAGAGACTGGGTGAGGGTTAGAGGCTGGGTGAGGGTTAGAGACTGGGTGAGGGTTAGAGACTGGGTGAGGGTTAGAGACTGGGTGAGGGTTAGAGACTGGGTGAGGGTTAGAGACTGGGTGAGGGTTAGAGACTGGGTGAGGGTTAGAGGCTGGGTGAGGGTTAGAGACTGGGTGAGGGTTAGAGACTGGGTGAGGGTTAGAGGCTGGGTGAGGGTTAGAGACTGGGTGAGGGTTAGAGACTGGGTGAGGGTTAGAGGCTGGGTGAGGGTTAGAGACTGGGTGAGGGTTAGAGACTGGGTGAGGGTTAGAGGCTGGGTGAGGATAGAGGCTGGGTGAGGGTTAGAGAATGGGTGAGGGTTAGAGACTGGGTGAGGGTTAAAGACTGGGTGAGGTTAGAGGCTGGGTGAGGGTTAGAGACTGGGTGAGGGTTAGAGACTGGGTGAGGGTTAGAGGCAGGGTGAGTGTTAGAGGCTGGGTGAGGGTTAGAGGCAGGGTGAGGGTTAGAGACTGGGTGAGGGTTAGAGATTGGGTGAGGGTTAGAGACTGGGTGAGGGTTAGAGACTGGGTGAGGGTTAGAGACTGGGTGAGGGTTAGAGACTGGGTGAGGGTTAGAGGCAGGGTGAGTGTTAGAGGCTGGGTGAGGGTTAGAGACTGGGTGAGGGTTAGAGACTGGGTGAGGGTTAGAGACTGGGTCAGGGTTAGAGGCTGGGTGAGGGTTTGAGACTGGGTGAGGGTTAGAGACTGGGTGAGGGTTAAAGACTGGGTGAGGGTTATAGACTGGGTGAGGGTTAGAGACTGGGTGAGGGTTAGAGACTGGGTGAGGGTTAGAGACTGGGTGAGGGTTAGAGACTGGGTGAGGGTTAGAGACGGTCAACAAGAGTTCGACTGCGGGAGCAGCAGGTGGCCCGCGCGTCCCGTACGTGGCTGTGGCAGTCTTGGAAGATGTCGCTCTGCAGGATGTTGCACTTGCGCTGCGCCCAGGCGAGGCGGTAGTGGTTGCTGGCGCACGGCTGAGCGTCGTCCGTCACGGTGCTGCACGACTCCTTGCTCTTCCAGCTGTTGCCGAAGTCGATGGCGCTCGCCACGGAGGAGCCTCCGCGCGTCGTGAAGTCGTCACGAACGTCGCCGTTGAAGTTGCCGCACAGGCCGCACACCTTGCCCTGGGGAGCGAGCGCAACCACGCAGAAGCAGAACAATTGTCAGTGCCCCGCACGCCTTGCCCTGGGGAGCGAGCGCAACCACGCAGAGGCAGAGCCATCGTCAATGCACCGCATGCCTCACCTCGGGGTGCCCAGCATGGCTATGAGATGTTAACTGCTGGATCTCCGCTCTGTTTTAAAGAATTACCTGCTGGATTTCCTTTCTGTTTCAAAGAACAAATTTGACCTAAGGTCTTCGCTCATTTACCAGCTTCACATTCCCTATTGCCCCCAGGGTCTGGAATGCTATTTCCAATAAACTGCAACTTGAATCACTACCTATGAGATCTTTACTCAAAACTGCTCAAAACTGCTCTGCGTTGTGGCCGAAACGTCGTGAGAATTGTATTTTATTATGTTTTATTTTTATTATTTTATTATTTCCCTTCTACGTGGTGACTTTACCGAAAGAACCAATCAGATCAACGTGACTTTACCGAAAATTAAGTTTCGTTTAATGGCATCGTCCTCATCATCATCACGGAGACGACATATACCGTCGACCCCATTTATGTTTGCAGTTTCATCGGTAAGGCAACTGTCACTTAGCAAAAGCCTCGGCGGAAAAAGTTTTGAATCATCTTGTGAATCCAAGAGGGCATCCTGGCAATACCGTACAATAGTTTATGCTTCAAAATTAACTCGGTGCAGCAGTTTCTTAATACTCTGTAATTGGTACCATTTGAGTCCAACATTTATTTGTTTATTGATCTTCCAGGCTACGTTCCTGCAGCGGATGAGATGGGCGAGATCTGGGTTAAACCACGAAGCCTGATTTCCCTTAACTCTGAACGTATTCCGTGGAGTGTGTTTGTTTAGCGATGGGCAGATTTGTCTTTCTAAACAAGTGACCTCGAGATATCCAAAGTGGAGATCGCAGGCAAGACCTTGATGACCAAAACACACGGCCATCATAATTTGCATCATTAGTGGACTGCACATCTCACCCCGAGTGTCACACTGTCGTCACCATCTCCTACAACAACTCCAAAAAAACATCACCGATGATAACACGGCCGAATCTCTCACACCACCATCCCAACGATCTGCACCGTCTTCACCATCATCATCATCTTCCACCACCACCATCTCCACCACCATCACCACCATCTCCACCACCATCACCACCATCTCCACCACCATCACCATCATCTCCACCACCATCTCCACCACCATCACCACCTTCTCCACCACCATCTCCACCATCTCCACCACCATCACCACCATCTCCACCACCATCACCACCATCTCCACCACCATCACCATCATCTCCATCACCACCATCTCCACCACCATCTCCACCACCATCACCACCACCTCTACCACGACCACCACAATCCCCACCACCATCACCACCATCTCCACCACCACGACCCTGACCCTGTACTCGGAGTCGAGCTTGATGAAGATGCTCGTGCATCGGTCCCACATGACCATGACGCTACCACCACCTCCACCACCATCACCACCACCACCTCCACCACCACCACCTCCACCACCACCACCCCCACCACGACCACCACCACCATCCCCACCACCACCACCTCCACAGTGACCCTGACCTTGTACTTGGAGTCGAGCTTGACGAAGATGCTCGTGCGCCGGTCCCACATGACCATGACTCCGATGGCGGTCTGCACGATGCGGTAGAGCCCCACCGAGTGGACGCTCAGCGAGTTGACGTCGGGGAGGACGCCGTCTCCGCCCACGGGAACCACCGTCACGTCCCCGTCCGCCATCTGAACCTCCACGTTGTAGGCCTGGGTGGAGCACGCCGCGGGCGGGGGGGGGGGACAGACAAACTAGCGGTCAGGGCAAGTAACACCACTGAAGCAGAGCAGCAAGATACATTAAAAATAAGTTGTCAGTTTTGTTGCCAGATAGAAGGGTAAAAAAACAATTATCATATTTTTTACTGGCAAATGAGGTTCCAATGGTGTAAATGCTTCACCCCGAGTTCTCATACTCTGATGGTGCATTGTCTTTGAGTTGTGCGCCTTTTGGCGTCATCTGGTCCAACGCCATGTGAGACTGGGCTCTGAGGAAAGCTGTCTCGGGTGTGGACCAATCAACTTCAAGGACAGTGCATACACTATCAGAGTTGTGTTTTTTGTTTGCATTATGACTGCAGGTATTGTGGTCTATGTAAACATGACTCCTTGTATAAAAAAAAGTTGTCAGTTTTGTTGCCAGATAGAAGGGTAAAAAAACAATTATCATATTTTTTACTGGCAAATGAGGTTCCAATGGTGTAAATGCTTCACCCCGAGCTCTCATACTCTGATGTGTATTGTCTTTGAGTTGTGCGCCTTTTGGCGTCATCTGGTCCAACGCCATGTGAGACTGGGCTCTGAGGAAAGCTGTCTCGGGTGTGGACCAATCAACTTCAAGGACAGTGCATACACTATCAGAGTTGTGTTTTTTGTTTGCATTATGACTGCAGGTATTGTGGTCTATGTAAACATGACTCCTTGTATAAAAAAAAGTTGTCAGTTTTGTTGCCAGATAGAAGGGTAAAAAAACAATTATCAAGATACATCAATTTTCGCCTTCACGAAATTTGTATTGAGTGCCACAAACGAGAAGCTTCTAGATGGGCGGCTTACCGCGTTGAGGCACTGCGCACAGTTTGCCCCACGTGGCCCATGTCACCGGCTCTCTGCTTCTTAGTCCGTACAATGGCTGTTCGCGTCATGTTCCGTGTGTCCGAATTCATCGTGTTATCGGCCATTTTACTTTTAAGAGTGACCCCTTCAAGTAGGAGTAGCGAGCGTGGGTCAACGTCGCCGGCTATTTACTCCGGCAGAAGAAACCGTGGCAAGCTGCGAGACTGGTCACCGAGCTGGACATCGTGACAAAAGCACGAGAAAGGAGGACACTTGGTAGACATTCATGGGGTGGGGGGGGGGGAGGTAGAGGTTCAACCAGAGGTCGCAAACTGGTTTTGATTCCTTACCCGTACCCGTACCCAGCCACACCAGGGTCACAAATGGGTACCCGTACCCATACCCAGCCGGGTACGGGTACCCGTTCCCTACCCGTACCCATACCCTACCCGAAATGAGTGACAAACGGTTACTCGCCAGTGACTCACGGTCTACCCGTACCCGGCCGCAACAGGGTCGCAAACGGCTACCCGTACCCGTACCCGGCCGGGTATCGGGTAGGGTACGGGTATCGGGTACCCGGTTGCGACCTCTGAGGTCAACCACCGCTACGTTTTCCAACTTGTATGTCCGTGTGTTGAACTTCTATCGCACCATACGGAGCCAGCCGTGCTAACGGAGGTGCGGGAGAGTCTCGCTTGCGCCCACCTTGATGAAGAAGCGCACCGACTTGGAGCAGGTGGTGCCCGCCGTGCCACAGTCCTCGTTGTCCGTGATGATCTGGAAGCTGCCCTCCTGGTTGGCGCAGTAGTCCTGTGTCCGGGGAGGGGTGGTGATGGTGGTGGTGGTTGAAGGGGAGCGGCACGGTTAGTCATGCGACCGCCGTAACCACCCACCAATGGCTGTGGTGGTTCTTGGAACCACACAGTCAACATCCAATCACAGTCACCATGCAATCATAGCCATTGTCCAATCACAGTCAACATCCAATCACAGTCACCATGCAATCACAGTCACCATGCAATCATAGCCATTGTCCAATCACAGTCAACATCCAATCACAGTCACCATGCAATCATAGCCATCATCCAATCACAGTCCACTCACAGTTATCCAATCACAGCTGTCTACTCACAGTCACTGTCCACTCGGTCACCGTCCAATCACAGTCATCATCCAATCGCAGTCGTCCACTCGCAGTCGTCCACTGGCAGTCACCGGTGACTAGTTGAGTGTCAGCTCCCCGCTCACCTGCACGACGCCGTAGTCGCACTTGCCGTCGAACACGAAGCGCTTGCCGTCGAAGGTGACGTAGTGGCCGTCCCCGTACATCTTGCAGGCTCCGGGGCACGGCTGGACGGTGCAGCTCCACACGCCGCCACTGCACACACTGCAAAGGCGAAGAAGATTCCACCAGTTTAGCCGTCGCCAGAGTGTCGGGGCAACTGCCGCTCTTTGTCATGTATAGACTCACACACCTAGACCCATAGACTCGCACGGAGATCCGTAGACTCACACAAGGACGCATAGACTCACACAGAGACCTGTAGACTCAGACAGAGACCCACAGACTTACACAGAGATCCATAGACTCACACAGAGACCCACAGACTCACACAAGGACGCATAGACTCAGACAGAGATCCATAGACTCGCACAGAGGCCCGTAGACTCACACAGAGACCCGTAGACTCGCACAGAGGAGACCAGTAGCAAGTGGTTAGGATGGGCGCTGGAGCGAGGAATACAATTAGGGGACCCCATGTCAACATTTTTCCTTCCTTCCCTGCACCCCCCCCCCCAACCTCTATTTGTCGTAAGCCAGCATCCTGGCCTTTTCGGCCCTTTCTAGAGGACCTGCCACAGGTGGCCACCCGGCCCTGGCCAACACCCTGGACCCGTGGCAGGCCTGGCCATGCGGGCATCTCACAGGGACTGTCTACCCCTCGTCACGACTGGAGCCAGAAACAGGCCACCGAACACAGAGAACCAGGCGGTACCGGTCCAGCTCCTGACAGAGGAGTGGCAGCCTCTCCTCCACATACACACATACAAGAATCAGTCCACCGGACCTTCTGAATTCCACAGAGATTCAGGTGGTACTGGTCGTGCTCCTGACAGAGAAGTGGCAGCCTCTCCTCCACATACACATACACAAGAATCAGTCCACCGGACCTTCTGAATTCCACAGAGATTCAGGCGGTACTGGTCGTGCTCCTGACAGAGGAGTGGCAGCCTCTCCTCCACATACACACATACAAGAATCAGTCCATCAGACCTTCTGAATGCTACAGAGAACCAGGCGGTACCGGTCCAGTTCTTGACAGAGGAGTGACAGCCTCTCCTCCACATACACACATACAAGAATCAGTCACACCAGACCTCCTGAATGCTACAGAGAACCATGCGGTACCGGTCCTGCTCCGGACAGAGGAGTGGCAGCCTCTCCTCCACATACACACTAGAAACAATCCACCAGACTTCCTGAATTCCACAGAGATTCAGGCGGTACCGGTCCAGCTCCTGACAGAGGAGTGGCAGCCTCTCCTCTGGTGACTCTAAGACGCACCACTCGTTGCAGTCGAGGTTGACGGACTCGCCCTTTCCGTAGACGCGGCCGTTGTGCAGGCAGGGGCAGTCCTCGGGCGCAACGCAGAAGCCTCCATCGTCCAAGACCAGCCCGGGAGCACAGGTGCAGCCAGACTCGCACACCACGGCCACCTGGTGTGTGTGTGGGAGAGAGGCGGGTTGCTGAGAGACGTTGACGTTTTTGTTGTAGTACAGATTTGTAGTAGTACAGAGTTAGACTGATGGCCTTAATCTAAGTTGTCTTGTCGTTGTTGTTGGTTGTTTGACTTGCATCCCACTGGGATGTTTGCACACAGCGTTGGTGTGTACGGTGATTTTTCTGCAACATTTTGCTGTCTTTTCTTGGATTTTCTGTTTGCACTCAGTCACATATTAACTTTAAGATGTTTTCTTGTTCATGTTTTTGTTTTTTTTGTTTGTTGCGGTTGCACCCGATTCAAGAGCCGAATGGCTCACAGGGCTACACCTAATACATGAAACTTGAAAACTTGAAACTTGACACACACCACGGACACACACGCTGCCATTCTCGCGGTGGCCCACAGTGTGTGCGCGTGTCCACAATCGAGACGTTTTTGTTAATTCTTTGGGGTCACATCGCGTGAATAAAGTGCCAACCTGCGCGCGAGTGAGCCCGGGGAACGATGTCGGCTTAGGGGGTGTGCGAGCATCGTGGATCAAGGGGAAATACAAACAAACAACAACAACAACCATTGGAACGATAATTGGTTTTTTACCCTTCTATCTGGCAACAAAACTGACACCTTTTTACAAGGAGTCATGTTTGCATAGACCACAATACCTGCAGTCATAATGCAAACAAAAAACATAACTCTGATAATGTATGTGCACTGTCCTTGAAGTTGATTGGTCCACACCCGAGACAGCTTTCCTCAGAGCCCAGTCTCACATGGCGTTGGACCAGATGACGCCAAAACTGTCCTTGAAGTTGACCAATCAACTTCAAGGACAGTGCACATTATCAGAGTTATGTCTTTTGTTTGTATTATGACTGCAGGTATTGTGGTCTATGCAAACATGACTCCTTGTAAAAATGTGTCAGTTTTGTTGCCAGATAGAAGGATAAAAAAACAATGATCAAACAACGCAAGATGGAAGCCACCCCCCCCCCCCCCCCCCCCCCCCAGGGAATTACTTGGCTGGAGAGCTCAACGATTTGGGGAAAACATCCAATTGTGATTTGTTTAAGTCAAGCTTCAGTTCAATATTCACTGTGTAATAGATTTAGAACACGTGATGGAGCATTACCACGTGATGCCTTCAAAATATGAACTGCTCTATATATTCTAATGCAAGGATGAGAACTTAAAGATATGAATTGCTTTGCTTTTAAAATGTATTTATTAAAATGTTTCAATTGAAATAGAACATTTGTTAAGTTAAATAAATATGCTGCTGCTGATGATGATGCTGCTGATGATAATCCTGCTGCTGCTGATACTGCCACTGATGATGATGCTGCTGCTGCTGATGATGATGATGCTGCTGATGCTGCTGCTGCTGATGATGCCGCTGCTGCTGCTGATGATGCTGCTGATGATACTACTGCTGATGATGCTGCTGATGATGATACTGCTGATGATGCTGCTGATGATGATACTGCTGTTGATGCTGCTGATGATGATGATGCTGCTGATGATGCTGCTGCCACTGATGATACTGCTGCTGCTGATGATGCTGATGATGCTGCTGCTGCTGATGATGATACTGCTGATACTGCTGATGCTGCTGCTGATGATGCTGATGATGCTGATCGGGACGAGACTCACGCAGGGCAGGCTGAGCGAGCGGCAGCTCCTCTCGCAGGCCTTGCCCAGGTCTCCGTCGGGCAGCGCCGAGCAGTTCACGTAGACCTGGGGCTTCCCACACACCTCTAGAGTGGGAGGGGAGGGGGAGGAGGACACATCATCAGAATTCTAGATTTGAAGCTTTCGTGACTGCAAGGAATCACACTGTTAATTTTTTCGGTAAAGTCACCATGTAGGTAAAAAAAATTGAAATTAAAATTAATAAAAAATAAATAAAACAATAAAAATCACGACGTTTCGGAGGCAAGACAAGTCTCCGTCATCAGGTGGGACCCTCACAGCCAGATTTGCTGCATCAAGTGCTAACAGATAGGTGAAATTCCTCCCCGTAGAGGGTATTAATTCTAGATTTGAAGCTTTCGTGAATGCAAGGAATCATACTCTTAGTTCTTTCGGTAAAGTCACCATGTAGGTAAAAAAATGTGAAATTCAAATTTAAAAAAAATCACGACGTTTCGGAGGCAACACAAGTCTCCGTCATCAGGTGGGACCCTCACAGCCAGATTTGCTGCACATCATCAGAAGCCTCGTCCACGTGATCACCTTTGCACGTCGTGAGAATTGTATTTTATAATGTTTTATTTTTATTATTTCCCTTCTACGTGGTGACTTTACCGAAAGAACCAAGAAGATGAATCCAATGGTGTAAATGCTTCACCCCGAGCTCTCATACTCTGATGGTGCATTGTCTTTGAGTTGTGCGCCTTTTTGCGTCATCTGGTCCAACACCATGTGAGACTAGGCTCTAAGGAAAGCTGTCTCGGGTGTGGACCAATCAACTTCAAGGACAGTGCACATACATTATCAGAGTTGTGTCTTTTGTTTGCATTATGACTGCAGGTATTGTGGTCTATGCAAACATGACTCCTTGTAAAAAAAGTTGTCAGTTTTGTTGCCAGATAGAAGGGTAAAAAACCAATTATCATATTTTTTCTTCTGGAAAATGAGGTTCCAATGGTGGAAACGTTTTCATCCTCTCGTGGCAAACCCCACACCCACAGTTGAGGGCTTGTTGTGGTGGTGGTTGTGGTGGTGGTGGTTGTGGTGGTGGTTGTGGTGGTGGTAGTTGTGGTGGCGGTGGTGGTGGTGGTTGTGGTTGTGGTTGTGGTTGTTGTGGTTGTGGTTGTGGTGGTGGTGGTGGTGGTGATGGTTGTGGTTGTGGTTGTTGTGGTGTTGGTAGTTGTGGTGGCGGTGGTGGTGGTGATGGTTGTGGTTGTGGTTGTTGTGGTGGTGGTAGTTGGTGGTGGTGGTGGTGGTGGTGATGGTTGTGGTTGTGGTTGTTGTGGTGGTGGTAGTTGTGGTGGTGGTGGTGGTGGTTGTGGTGGTGGTGGTGGTTGTGGTGGTTGTGGTGGTTGTGGTGGTGGTTTTGGTGCACCCCGTCTCACCTTGCTGCTGCTGCTGCTTGGGGTTTTCACAGTGGAGTACTCCGGACTTGCACACGCTGTGACACACACAGTGACACACACAGTGACACACACACATAGTGACATAGTGACACACACACACACAGTGACACACACAGAGACACACACACACACAGTGACACACACAGTGACACACACAGTGACACACACACACATAGTGACACACACACACAGTGACACACACACACGCTGTGACAGACACAGTGACACACACAGTGACACACACACACACAGTGACATAGTGACACACACACACACATAGTGACACACACACACACATAGTGACATAGTGACACACACAGTGACACACACACACATAGTGACATAGTGACACACACAGTGACACACACAGTGACACACACACACACACACAGTGACATAGTGACACACACAGTGACACACACAGTGACACACACAGAGACACACACACACACAGTGACACACACAGTGACACACACAGTGACACACACACGCTGTGACACACACAGTGACACACACACACACAGTGACATAGTGACACACACAGTGACACACACACATAGTGACATAGTGACACACACAGTGACACACACACACATAGTGACATAGTGACACACACAGTGACACACACAGTGACACACACACACACAGTGACATAGTGACACACACAGTGACACACACACACATAGTGACATAGTGACACACACAGTGACACACACACACATAGTGACATAGTGACACACACAGTGACACACACACACATAGTGACATAGTGACACACACAGTGACACACACACACATAGTGACATAGTGACACACACAGTGACACACACACACACAGTGACACACACACACGCTGTGACACACACAGTGACACACACAGTGACACACACACACATAGTGACATAGTGACACACACACACACATAGTGACATAGTGACACACACAGTGACACACACACACACATAGTGACATAGTGACACACACAGTGACACACACACACACATAGTGACATAGTGACACACACAGTGACACACACACACATAGTGACATAGTGACACACACAGTGACACACACACATAGTGACACTGTGACACACACAGTGACACACACACACATAGTGACATAGTGACACACACAGTGACACACACACACACACACATAGTGACATAGTGACACACACAGTGACACACACACACATAGTGACATAGTGACACACACAGTGACACACACACTCACATAGTGACACACACACACACAGTGACACACACACACACAGTGACACACACAGTGACACACACAGTGACACACACACACATAGTGACACACACACACAGTGACACACACACGCTGTGACACACACAGTGACACACACAGTGACACACACACACAGTGACATAGTGACACACACAGTGACACACACAGTGACACACACACAGTGACACACACAGTGACACACACACACACAGTGACACACACAGTGACACACACACGCTGTGACACACACACACACACAGTGACAGTGACACACACAGTGACACACACACACACAGTGACAGTGACACACACAGTGACACACACACACACATAGTGACATAGTGACACACACAGTGACACACACACACACATAGTGACATAGTGACACACAGAGACACACACACACAGTGACAGTGACACACACAGTGACACACACACATAGTGACATAGTGACACACACAGTGACACACACACACACATAGTGACATAGTGACACACACAGTGACACACACACGGTGTGACACACACAGAGACACACACACACTGGGTGGGTGACTGGTTGGGTGACTGGGTGGGTGATTGGGTGGGTGACTGGGTGGGTGGGTGACTGGGTGGGTGACTGGGTGGGTGGGTGACTGGGTGGGTGGGTGACTGGGGGAGTGACTGGGTGGGTGACTGGGTGGGTGGGTGACTGGGGGGGGTGACCGGGTGGGTGACTGGGTGGGTGACTGGGTGGTTGGCTGGGTGGGTGGATGACTGGGTGGGTGACTAGGTGAGTGACTGGGTGGGTGACTGGGTGGGTGGGTGACTGGGTGGGTGGGTGACTGGGTGACTGTGTGGGTAGGTGACTGGGTGGGTTGTTGACTGGGTAGGTGACTGGGTGGGTGACTGGGTGGGTGACTGGGTAGGTGACTGGGTGGGTGACTGGGTGACTGTGTGGGTGGGTGACTGGGTGGGTGACTGGGTGGGTGGGTGACTGGGTAGGTGACTGGGTGGGTGACTGGGTGGGTGGGTGACTGGGTGGGTGACTGGGTGGGTGACTGAGTGGGTGACTGGATGGGTGACTGGGTGGGTGACTGGGTGAGTGACTGGGTGAGTGGGTGGGTGACTGGGTGGGTGACTGGGTGGGTTCGGTGACTGGGTGGGTGACTGTGTGGGTGGGTGACTGGGTGGGTGACTGGACGGGTGCTGCAGCAGTGTCGGTGCCAGGCTAGGTGCACCCCGCTCCTCACCATCTCTGACTGCCGCTCTCGTAGCTCTGACCGGGTGGAACCACGCGGTTTCCCGCGTAGCAGGGGCAGCCCTCGGGAGGCACGCAGCTGCCCTCGGGCTCCAGCAGCTGCCCCTCGGGGCACAGGCAGCCTGCCCCCACACAGCAAGGGGCAGCGGTCACCACGGGCAGCCTTGGGCAGGCCGGAGGCGAGGGTTGTCGCGGTAGCGAGCGTCACTCCGTGGTGCGCTGTGACTGTACGGTGTGACTGTGTGGTGTGGTGTGACTGTGTGGTGTGGTGTGACTGTGCGGTGTGACTGTGTGGTGTGACTGTACGGTGTGACTGTGTGGTGTGGTGTGACTGTGTGGTGTGGTGTGACTGTGCGGTGTGACTGTGTGGTGTGGTGTGACTGTGTGGTGTGACTGTGTGGTGTGGTGTGACTGTGTGGTGTGACTGTGTGGTGTGGTGCGGTGTGACTGTGTGGTGTGACTGTGTGGTGTGACTGTGTGGTGTGGTGTGACTGTGTGGTGTGGTGTGACTGTGCGGTGTGACTGTACGGTGTGACTGTGTGGTGTGGTGTGACTGTGTGGTGTGACTGTGTGGTGCGGTGTGGTGTGGTGTGACTGTGTGGTGTGACTGTGTGGTGTGACTGTGTGGTGCGGTGTGGTGTGGTGTGACTGTGTGGTGTGACTGTGTGGTGCGGTGTGGTGTGGTGTGACTGTGTGGTGTGACTGTGTGGTGTGACTGTGTGGTGCGGTGTGACTGTACGGTGTGACTGTGTGGTGTGGTGTGACTGTGTGGTGTGACTGTGTGGTGTGGTGTGACTGTGTGGTGTGACTGTACGGTGTGACTGTGTGGTGTGGTGTGACTGTGTGGTGTGGTGTGACTGTGCGGTGTGACTGTGCGGTGTGACTGTGTGGTGTGGTGTGGTGTGGTGTGACTGTGTGGTGTGGTGTGACTGTGTGGTGTGACTGTGTGGTGTGGTGTGACTGTACGGTGTGACTGTGTGGTGTGGTGTGACTGTGTGGTGTGGTGTGACTGTGTGGTGTGGTGTGGTGTGACTGTGTGGTGTGGTGTGACTGTGTGGTGTGACTGTGTGGTGTGGTGTGACTGTGTGGTGTGGTGTGACTGTGTGGTGTGGTGTGACTGTGTGGTGTGGTGTGACTGTGTGGTGTGACTGTGTGGTGTGACTGTGTGGTGCGGTGTGACTGTACGGTGTGACTGTGTGGTGTGGTGTGACTGTGTGGTGTGACTGTGTGGTGTGGTGTGACTGTGTGGTGTGACTGTGTGGTGTGACTGTGTGGTGCGGTGTGACTGTACGGTGTGACTGTGTGGTGTGGTGTGACTGTGTGGTGTGACTGTGTGGTGTGGTGTGACTGTGTGGTGTGACTGTGTGGTGTGACTGTGTGGTGTGGTGTGACTGTACGGTGTGACTGTGTGGTGTGGTGTGACTGTGTGGTGTGGTGTGACTGTGCGGTGTGACTGTGCGGTGTGACTGTGTGGTGTGGTGTGGTGTGGTGTGACTGTGTGGTGGGGTGTGACTGTGTGGTGTGACTGTGTGGTGTGGTGTGACTGTACGGTGTGACTGTGTGGTGTGGTGTGACTGTGTGGTGTGGGTGTGACTGTGTGGTGTGGTGTGGTGTGGTGTGACTGTGTGGTGTGGGTGTGACTGTGTGGTGTGACTGTGTGGTGTGGTGTGACTGTGTGGTGTGGTGTGACTGTGTGGTGTGGGTGTGACTGTGCGGTGTGACTGTGGCGGTGTGACTGTGTGGTGTGGTGTGGTGTGACTGTGTGGTGTGAGTGTGTGGTGTGACTGTGCGGTGTGACTGTGTGGTGTGACTGTGTGGTGTGGTGTGACTGTGTGGTGTGACTGTGTGGTGTGACTGTCGGTGTGACTGTGTGGTGTGACTGTGTGGTGTGACTGTGCGGTGTGACTGTGTGGTGTGACTGTGTGGTGTGGTGTGACTGTGCGGTGTGACTGTGTGGTGTGGTGTGACTGTGTGGTGTGACTGTGTGGTGTGGTGCGGTGTGACTGTGTGGTGTGACTGTGTGGTGTGACTGTGTGGTGTGGTGTGACTGTGTGGTGTGGGTGTGACTGTGCGGTGTGACTGTACGGTGTGACTGTGTGGTGTGGTGTGACTGTGTGGTGTGACTGTGTGGTGTGACTGTGTGGTGTGACTGTGTGGTGCGGTGTGGTGTGGTGTGACTGTGTGGTGTGACTGTGTGGTGTGACTGTGTGGTGCGGTGTGGTGTGGTGTGACTGTGTGGTGTGACTGTGTGGTGCGGTGTGGTGTGGTGTGACTGTGTGGTGTGACTGTGTGGTGGTGACTGTGTGGTGCGGTGTGACTGTACGGTGTGACTGTGTGGTGTGTGTGACTGTGTGGTGTGACTGTGTGGTGTGGTGTGACTGTGTGTGTGACTGTACGGTGTGACTGTGTGGTGTGTGGACTGTGTGGTGTGGTGTGACTGTGCGGGTGTGACTGTGCGGTGTGACTGTGTGGTGTGGTGTGGTGTGGTGTGACTGTGTGGTGTGGTGTGACTGTGTGGTGTGACTGTGTGGGTGTGGTGTGACTGTACGGTGTGACTGTGTGGTGTGGTGTGACTGTGTGGTGTGGTGTGACTGTGTGGTGTGGTGTGACTGTGTGGTGTGGTGTGACTGTGTGGTGTGACTGTGTGGTGTGGTGTGACTGTGTGTGTGGTGTGACTGTGTGGTGTGGTGTGACTGTGCGGTGTGACTGTGTGGTGTGGTGGTGACTGTGTGGTGTGACTGTGTGGTGTGACTGTGTGGTGCGGTGTGACTGTACGGTGTGACTGTGTGGTGTGGTGTGACTGTGTGGTGCGGTGTGACTGTACGGTGTGACTGTGTGGTGTGGTGTGACTGTGTGGTGTGACTGTGTGGTGTGGTGTGACTGTGTGGTGTGACTGTGTGGTGTGACTGTGTGGTGTGGTGTGACTGTACGGTGTGACTGTGTGGTGTGGTGTGACTGTGTGGTGTGGTGTGACTGTGCGGTGTGACTGTGCGGTGTGACTGTGTGGTGTGGTGTGGTGTGGTGTGACTGTGTGGTGTGGTGTGACTGTGTGGTGTGACTGTGTGGTGTGGTGTGACTGTACGGTGTGACTGTGTGGTGTGGTGTGACTGTGTGGTGTGGTGTGACTGTGTGGTGTGGTGTGGTGTGGTGTGACTGTGTGGTGTGGTGTGACTGTGTGGTGTGACTGTGTGGTGTGGTGTGACTGTGTGGTGTGGTGTGACTGTGTGGTGTGGTGTGACTGTGCGGTGTGACTGTGCGGTGTGACTGTGTGGTGTGGTGTGGTGTGGTGTGACTGTGTGGTGTGAGTGTGTGGTGTGACTGTGCGGTGTGACTGTGTGGTGTGACTGTGTGGTGTGGTGTGACTGTGTGGTGTGACTGTGTGGTGTGACTGTGCGGTGTGACTGTGTGGTGTGACTGTGTGGTGCGGTGTGACTGTGTGGTGTGGTGTGACTGTGTGGTGTGACTGTGTGGTGTGGTGTGACTGTACGGTGTGACTGTGTGGTGTGGTGTGACTGTGTGGTGTGGTGTGACTGTGTGGTGTGGTGTGGTGTGGTGTGACTGTGTGGTGTGGTGTGACTGTGTGGTGTGACTGTGTGGTGTGGTGTGACTGTGTGGTGTGGTGTGACTGTGTGGTGTGGTGTGACTGTGCGGTGTGACTGTGTGGTGTGGTGTGGTGTGGTGTGACTGTGTGGTGTGAGTGTGTGGTGTGACTGTGCGGTGTGACTGTGTGGTGTGACTGTGTGGTGTGGTGTGACTGTGTGGTGTGACTGTGTGGTGTGACTGTGCGGTGTGACTGTGTGGTGTGACTGTGTGGTGCGGTGTGACTGTGTGGTGTGGTGCGGTGTGACTGTGTGGTGTGACTGTGTGGTGTGGTGTGGTGTGACTGTGTGGTGTGACTGTGTGGTGTGGTGTGGTGTGACTGTGTGGTGTGACTGTGTGGTAGTGCGGTGTGACTGTGTGACTGTGTGGTGTGACTGTGTGGTGTGACTGTGTGGTGTGGTGTGACTGTGTGGTGTGACTGTGTGGTGTGACTGTGTGGTGTGGTGTGACTGTACGGTGTGACTGTGTGGTGTGGTGTGACTGTGTGGTGTGGTGTGACTGTGCGGTGTGACTGTGCGGTGTGACTGTGTGGTGTGGTGTGGTGTGGTGTGACTGTGTGGTGTGGTGTGACTGTGTGGTGTGACTGTGTGGTGTGGTGTGACTGTACGGTGTGACTGTGTGGTGTGGTGTGACTGTGTGGTGTGGTGTGACTGTGTGGTGTGGTGTGGTGTGACTGTGTGGTGTGGTGTGACTGTGTGGTGTGACTGTGTGGTGTGGTGTGACTGTGTGGTGTGGTGTGACTGTGTGGTGTGGTGTGACTGTGCGGTGTGACTGTGCGGTGTGACTGTGTGGTGTGGTGTGGTGTGGTGTGACTGTGTGGTGTGAGTGTGTGGTGTGACTGTGCGGTGTGACTGTGTGGTGTGACTGTGTGGTGTGGTGTGACTGTGTGGTGTGACTGTGTGGTGTGACTGTGCGGTGTGACTGTGTGGTGTGACTGTGTGGTGCGGTGTGACTGTGTGGTGTGGTGTGACTGTGTGGTGTGACTGTGTGGTGTGGTGTGACTGTACGGTGTGACTGTGTGGTGTGGTGTGACTGTGTGGTGTGGTGTGACTGTGTGGTGTGGTGTGGTGTGACTGTGTGGTGTGGTGTGACTGTGTGGTGTGACTGTGTGGTGTGGTGTGACTGTGTGGTGTGGTGTGACTGTGTGGTGTGGTGTGACTGTGCGGTGTGACTGTGTGGTGTGGTGTGGTGTGGTGTGACTGTGTGGTGTGAGTGTGTGGTGTGACTGTGCGGTGTGACTGTGTGGTGTGACTGTGTGGTGTGGTGTGACTGTGTGGTGTGACTGTGTGGTGTGACTGTGCGGTGTGACTGTGTGGTGTGACTGTGTGGTGCGGTGTGACTGTGTGGTGTGGTGCGGTGTGGACTGTGTGGTGTGACTGTGTGGTGTGGTGTGGTGTGACTGTGTGGTGTGACTGTGTGGTGTGGTGTGGTGTGACTGTGTGGTGTGACTGTGTGGTGTAGTGCGGTGTGACTGTGTGGTGCGGTGTGACTGTGTGGTGTGGTGTGACTGTGTGGTGTGGTGTGACTGTGTGGTGTGGTGTGACTGTGTGGTGTGGTGTGACTGTGTGGTGTGGTGTGACTGTGTGGTGTGGTGCGGTGTGACTGTGTGGTGTGGTGTGGTGTGACTGTGCGGTGTGACTGTGTGGTGTGGTGTGACTGTGTGGTGTGACTGTGTGGTGTGGTGTGGTGTGACTGTGTGGTGTGACTGTGTGGTGTGGTGTGGTGTGACTGTGTGGTGTGGTGCGGTGTGACTGTGTGGGGTGGTGTGACTGTGTGGTGTGGTGTGACTGTGTGGTGTGGTGTGACTGTGTGGTGTGGTGTGACTGTGTGGTGTGACTGTGTGGTGTGGTGTGACTGGTGGTGTGGTGTGACTGTGTGGTGTGGTGTGACTGTGTGGTGTGGTGTGACTGGTGCGGTGTGACTGGTGCGGTGTGACTGGTGGTGCTGGTGTGGTGTGACTGTGTGTGTTGTGTGTGTGGTGTGTGACTGTGCGGTGTGACTGTGTGGTGTGACTGTGTGGTGTGACTGTGTGGTGTGACTGTGTGGTGTGGTGTGACTGTGTGGTGTGGTGTGACTGTGTGGTGTGACTTTGTGGTGTGACTGTGTGGTGTGGTGTGACTGTGTGGTGTGACTGTGTGGTGTGGTGTGACTGTGTGGTGTGGTGTGACTGTGTGGTGCGGTGTGACTGTGTGGTGTGGTGCGGTGTGACTGTGTGGTGTGACTGTGTGGTGTGACTGTGTGGTGTGGTGTGACTGTGTGGTGTGACTGTGTGGTGTGGTGTGGTGTGACTGTGTGGTGTGACTGTGTGGTGTGGTGCGGTGTGACTGTGTGGGCGGTGTGACTTGTGGTGTGACTGTGTGTGCTGGTGTGGTTGTGACTGTGTGGTGTGGTGTGGTGTGACTGTGTGGTGTGGTGTGACTGTGTGGTGTGACTGTGTGGTGGTGTGACTGTGTGGTGTGACTGTGTGGTGTGACTGTGCGGTGTGACTGTGTGGTGTGGTGTGACTGTGTGGTGTGACTGTGTGGTGTGACTGTGTGGTGTGACTGTGTGGTGTGGTGTGACTGTGTGGTGTGACTGTGTGGTGTGACTGTGCGGTGTGACTGTGTGGTGTGGTGTGACTGTGTGGTGTGACTGTGTGGTGTGGTGTGACTGTGTGGTGTGACTGTGTGGTGTGGTGCGGTGTGACTGTGTGGTGTGGTGTGACTGTGTGGTGTGACTGTGTGGTGTGACTGTGTGGTGTGGTGTGGTGTGACTGTGTGGTGTGACTGTGTGGTGTGGTGCGGTGTGACTGTGTGGTGCGGTGTGACTGTGTGGTGTGGTGTGACTGTGTGGTGTGACTGTGTGGTGTGGTGTGGTGTGACTGTGTGGTGTGGTGTGACTGTGTGGTGTGACTGTGTGGTGTGGTGTGGACTGTGTGGTGTGACTGTGTGGTGTGGTGCGGTGTGACTGTGTGGTGCGGTGTGACTGTGTGGTGTGGTGTGACTGTGTGGTGTGACTGTGTGGTGTGGTGTGGTGTGACTGTGTGGTGTGGTGTGACTGTGTGGTGTGACTGTGTGGTGTGGTGTGACTGTGTGGTGTGACTGTGTGGTGTGACTGTGCGGTGTGACTGTGTGGTGTGGTGTGACTGTGTGGTGTGACTGTGTGGTGTGACTGTGTGGTGTGACTGTGTGGTGTGACTGTGTGGTGTGACTGTGTGGTGCGGTGTGACTGTGTGGTGTGGTGTGACTGTGTGGTGTGACTGTGTGGTGTGGTGTGACTGTGTGGTGTGACTGTGTGGTGTGACTGTGTGGTGTGACTGTGTGGTGTGACTGTGTGGTGTGACTGTGTGGTGCGGTGTGACTGTGTGGTGTGGTGTGACTGTGTGGTGTGGTGTGACTGTACGGTGTGACTGTGTGGTGTGGTGTGACTGTGCGGTGTGACTGTGTGGTGTGACTGTGTGGTGTGGTGTGACTGTGTGGTGCGGTGTGACTGTGTGGTGTGACTGTGTGGTGCGGTGTGACTGTGTGGTGTGACTGTGTGGTGTGACTGTGTGACCCCGTGGTACCGGAGTAGGGGACGTCTCCGTCGCAGGCGGCGTGCTCCACAAACCCGTGGCAGGTCTTGGAGCAGGCGCTCGGAGCCTCGCCCAGCAGCTGCCCAGCCGGGCACGACTCTTCTACACGGCCACAGATACAGCAGAGTCATCCACATCGTCAACATCATCATCCATCGTGGGCCATCATCATCCATCATCATCATCCATCATGAGCCATCATCATCCATCATGATCCATCATCATCATCATCATGATCCATCATCATCCATCATCCATCATCATCATCATCCATCGTCATCATCCATCGTCATCATCATCATCATCCATCATCATTATCATCATCATCATCCATCATCATTATCATCATCCATCATCATCAGCCACATCATCATCCATCACGATCCATCATCATCATCACCACCATCATCACGATCCCCACTACTCACCGCAGACGCCGCTGCCCCAGTTGGCGACGGGGACGCCGCATCATCCACATCATCATCATGATCCATCATCCATCATCATCATGAGCCATCATCATCACCATCACCCCCACTACTCACCACAGACGCCGCTGCCCCAGTTGGCGACGGGGACGCCGCGCCTGCCACAGGCTCGCGCCAGGGAGCCCAGCGCACCACAAAACTTCTCCCGGCTCCGGCTCGTGGAGTGGCAGACGTCCATCTCGCAGTTCTACACGGGGGGTGGGTACACGGGGGGTGGGTACACGGGGGGTGGGTACACGGGGGGTGGGTACACGGGGGTGGGTACACGGGGGGTGGGTACACGGGGGGTGGGTACACGGGGGTGGGTACACGGGGGGTGGGTACACGGGGGGGCGGGTACACGGGGGGCGGGTACACGGGGGGCGGGTACACGGGGGGTGGGTACACGGGGTGGGTACACGGGGTGGGTACACGGGGTGGGTACACGGGGGGGGTGTACACGGGGGGTGGTACACGGGGGTGGGTACACGGGGGTGGGTACACGGGGGGTGGGTACACGGGGGTGGGTACACGGGGGGTGGTACACGGGGGGTGGGTACACGGGGGTGGTACACGGGGGTGGGTACACGGGGTGGGTACACGGGGGTGGGTACACGGGGGTGGGTACACGGGGGTGGGTACACGGGGTGGGGTACACGGGGGTGGGGTACACGGGGGTGGGTACACGGGGGGGGGTACACACGGGGGGGTACAACGGGGGGTGGGTACACGGGGTGGGTACACGGGGGGCGGGTACACGGGGGGCGGGTACACGGGGTGGTACACGGGGTGGGTACACGGGGGTGGGTACACGGGGGTGGGTACACGGGGTGGGTACACGGGGGGGTACACGGGGGCGGGTACACGGGGGGTGGGTACACGGGGGGTGGGTACACGTGTGTGGGTACACGGGTGTGTGTGTACACGGGGGGTGGGTACACGGGGTGGGTACACGTGTGTGGGTACACGGGGGGTGGGTACACGGGTGGGGTACCGGGGGTGGTACACGGGGGGTGGGTACACGTGGTGGGTACACGGGGGTGGTACACGGGGGGTGGGTACACGTGTGTGGGTACACGGGGGTGGGTACATGGGGGTGGGTACACGGGGGGTGGGTACACGGGGGGTGGGTACACGGGGGGTGGGTACACGGGTGGGTACATGGGGGGTGGGTACACGGGGGGGGGTACACGTGTGTGGGTACACGGGTGGTGGGTACACGGGTGTTGGGTACACGGGGGTGGGTACACGGGGTGGGTACACGGGGTGGGTACACGGGGGGCGGGTACACGGGGTGGGTACACGGGGCGGTACACGGGGGTGGTACCGGGGGGCGGGTACACGGGGTGGGTACACGGGGGCGGGTACACGGGGGGTGGGTACACGGGGGGCGGTACACGGGGGGTGGGTACACGGGGGTGGGTACACGGGGGGCGGGTACACGGGGGGTGGGTACACGGGGGGCGGGTACACGGGGGGTGGGTACACGGGGGGCGGGTACACGGGGGGTGGGTACACGGGGGTGGGTACACGGGGGGTGGGTACACGGGGGGTGGGTACACGGGGGGTGGGTACACGTGTGTGGGTACAGGTGTGTGGGTACACGTGTGTGTGGTTACACGTGTGTGGGTATGGGGGTGGGTACACGTGTGTGTGGGTACACGTGTGTGTGGGTACACGTGGGTGTGTTGGTATGGGTGTGTTGGTATGGGTGTGTTGGTATGGGTGTGTTGGTATGGGTGTGTTGGTATGGGTGTGTTGGTATGGGTGTGTTGGTATGGGTGTGTTGGTATGGGTGTGGTGGTATGGGTGTGTTGGTATGGGTGTGTTGGTATGGGTGTGTTGGTACGGGTGTGGTGGTACGGGTGTGGTGGTACGGGTGTGGTGGTATGGGTGTGTTGGTATGGGTGTGTGTGGGTACACGGGTGTGTGGGTACACGGGTGTGTGGGTACACGGGTTGTGGGTACACGTGTGTGGGTTTGGGTGTGTGCCACAGTCATTCCCTCCCTTCTCTACGCTTGCGAAACGTGGACCCCCCCCCTAATGGAGCATCTTTGCCAGTTAGAAACATTTAGGCTGGCCCTGCCTACGATCCATCCTGGGTTTAACCTGCAGGCTGGATTGTGTGAGGAGCTCACAAATCCTTGAAAGATCTGGACAAAGTCCCATCGGTGAGCTCCTCCGGCAGGCAAGGCTGCGTCGGCTGGGCCATGTAGCCCGCATGCCCAGCCACCGCATGCCTCAACAGCTTTTGTTCGGCCGGATCGAGGGGGCGAAACGGGCTGCTGCTCACTACTAACAGCACTTGCCCCACAGTCTGTTGAGGCTACCCGGGGGAGCTTTGTCTTTGTGTTCACAGGAGCTGCTCGCTACTAACAGCACTTGCCCCACAGTCTGTGGAGGCTACCCGGGGGAGCTTTGTCTGTGTGTTCACCTTCTTGAAGGGTTCAAAGTCGACGTGCTTGAGGCACTTCTTGAAGATGGGGTGGTCCGAAACGTCGCAGCGCTTGCTCAGCTCCTCTGCGGGAAGCAAAGTGGCAACTGTGGTGAGTCTGTGGGTCTCTGTGGTGAGTCTGTGGGTCTCTGTGGTGAGTCTGTGGGTCTCTGTGGTGAGTCTGTGGGTCTCTGTGGTGAGTCTGTGGGTCTCTGTGGTGAGTCTGTGGGTCTCTGTGGTGAGTCTGTGGGTCTCTGTGTGGTGAGTCTGGGGGTCTCTGTGGTGAGTCTGTGGGTCTCTGTGTGGTGAGTCTGGGGGTCTCTGTGGTGAGTCTGTGGGTCTCTGTGTGGTGAGTCTGGGGGTCTCTGTGTGGTGAGTCTGGGGGTCTCTGTGGTGAGTCTGGGGGTCTCTGTGGTGAGTCTGTGGGTCTCTGTGTGATGAGTCTGTGGGTCTCTGTGGTGAGTCTGTGGGTCTCTGTGTGGTGAGTCTGTGGGTCTCTGTGGTGAGTCTGTGGGTCTCTGTGTGGTGAGTCTGTGGGTCTCTGTGTGGTGAGTCTGGGGGTCTCTGTGTGGTGAGTCTGTGGGTCTCTGTGGTGAGTCTGTGGGTCTCTGTGTGATGAGTCTGTGGGTCTCTGTGGTGAGTCTGTGGGTCTCTGTGTGGTGAGTCTATGGGTCTCTGTGGTGAGTCTGGGGGTCTCTGTGTGGTGAGTCTGTGGGTCTCTGTGGTGAGTCTGTGGGTCTCTGTGGTGAGTCTGTGGGTCTCTGTGGTGAGTCTGTGGGTCTCTGTGGTGAGTCTGTGGGTCTCTGTGGTGAGTCTGTGGGTCTCTGTGGTGAGTCTGTGGGTCTCTGTGGTGAGTCTGGGGGTCTCTGTGGTGAGTCTGGGGGTCTCTGTGTGAGTCTGGGGGTCTGTGTGGTGAGTCTGGGGGTCTCTGTGGTGAGTCTGTGGGTCTCTGTGGTGAGTCTGTGGGTCTCTGTGGTGAGTCTGTGGGTCTCTGTGGTGAGTCTGGGGGTCTCTGTGGTGAGTCTGTGGGTCTCTGTGTGGTGAGTCTGTGGGTCTCTGTGGTGAGTCTGTGGGTCTCTGTGTGGTGAGTCTGTGGGTTTCTGGTCTCTGTGAGTCTGTGTGGTGAGTCTGTGTGGTGAGTCTGTGGGTCTCTGTGGTGAGTCTGTGTCTGAGTCTGTGGGTCTCTGTGAGTCTGTAGGTCTCTGTGTGGTGAGTCTGGGGGTCTGTGTGGTGAGTCTGTGGGTCTCTGTGGTGAGTCTGTGGGTCTCTGTGGTGAGTCTGTGGATCTCTGTGTGAGTCTGGGGGTCTGTGTGGTGAGTCTGTGGGTCTCTGTGTGGTGAGTCTGTGGGTCTCTGTGTGGTGAGTCTGTGGGTCTCTGTGTGGTGAGTCTGTGGGTCTCTGTGTGGTGAGTCTGTGGGTCTCTGTGTGGTGAGTCTGGGGGTCTGTGTGGTGAGTCTGGGGGTCTGTGTGGTGAGTCTGTGGGTCTCTGTGTGAGTCTGGGGGTCTGTGTGGTGATTCTGTGGGTCTCTGTGTGGTGAGTCTGTGGGTCTCTGCGTGGTGAGTCTGTGGGTCTCTGTGGTGAGTCTGTGGGTCTCTGTGTGGTGAGTCTGTGGGTCTCTGTGTGGTGAGTCTGTGGGTCTCTGTGGTGAGTCTGGGGGTCTCTGTGGTGAGTCTGTGGGTCTCTGTGTGGTGAGTCTGTGGGTCTCTGTGTGGTGAGTCTATGGGTCTCTGTGTGGTGAGTCTGTGGGTCTCTGTGGTGAGTCTGTGGGTCTCTGTGTGGTGAGTCTGTGGGTTTCTGGTCTCTGTGAGTCTGTGTGGTGAGTCTGTGTGGTGAGTCTGTGGGTCTCTGTGGTGAGTCTGTGTCTGAGTCTGTGGGTCTCTGTGAGTCTGTAGGTCTCTGTGTGGTGAGTCTGGGGGTCTGTGTGGTGAGTCTGTGGGTCTCTGTGGTGAGTCTGGGGGTCTCTGTGGTGAGTCTGGGGGTCTCTGTGGTGAGTCTGGGGGTCTCTGTGTGGTGAGTCTGTGGGTCTGTGTGGTGAGTCTGGGGGTCTGTGTGGTGAGTCTGGGGGTCTCTGTGGTGAGTCTGTGGGTCTCTGTGTGGTGAGTCTGTGGGTCTCTGTGGTGAGTCTGGGGGTCTCTGTGGTGAGTCTGGGGGTCTCTGTGTGGTGAGTCTGTGGGTCTGTGTGGTGAGTCTGGGGGTCTGTGTGGTGAGTCTGTGGGTCTCTGTGGTGAGTCTATGGGTCTCTGTGTGGTGAGTCTGTGGGTCTCTGTGTGGTGAGTCTGTGGGTCTCTGTGTGGTGAGTCTGTGGGTCTCTGTGTGGTGAGTCTGTGGGTCTCTGTGTGGTGAGTCTATGGGTCTCTGTGTGGTGAGTCTGTGGGTCTCTGTGGTGAGTCTGTGGGTCTCTGTGTGATGAGTCTGTGGGTCTCTGTGGTGAGTCTGTGGGTCTCTGTGTGGTGAGTCTATGGGTCTCTGTGGTGAGTCTGTGGGTCTCTGTGTGATGAGTCTGTGGGTCTCTGTGGTGAGTCTGTGGGTCTCTGTGTGGTGAGTCTGTGGGTCTCTGTGGTGAGTCTGTGGGTCTCTGTGTAGTGAGTCTGTGGGTCTCTGTGTGGTGAGTCTACGTGTCTCTGTGTGGTGAGTCTGTGTGTGTCTGTGTGTGAGTCTACATATCTCTGTGTGCTGAGTCTACGTGTCTCTGAGTCTACGTGTCTCTGTGTGCTGAGTCTACGTGTCTCTGTGTTTCTGAGTCTACGTGTCTCTGAGTCTACGTGTCTCTGAGTCTCCGTGTCTCTGTGTGCTGAGTCTACGTGTCTCTGAGTCTACGTGTCTCTGAGTCTCCGTGTCTCTGTGTGCTGAGTCTACGTGTCTCTGTGTGTGAGTCTGTGTGTCTCTGTGTCTCTGTGTGTGAGTCTGTGTGTGTCTCTGTGTGTGAGTCTACGTGTCTTTGAGTCTGTGTGTCTCTGAGTCTGTGTGTCTCTGAGTCTGTGTGTCTCTGTGGCTGCGGTGGCCCCCTCACTGTCTCTGCAGAGGTTGGGCACCACGATCACCGCTGCTGCCGCTGCCGCTGTGTTCCACGAGGCGGCGAAACTCTCCCCGGTCGCCTCCACGATGTTCTGTGGCGACGTGAAGTCGTCCGCCTCCTGCCCGTTGTAGTTGCCGCACATCCCTGTGCAGTGCAGACACCGCAGACACACCGCAGACACGCACCACAGACACGCACCACAGACACACCACACACACACCGCAGACACGCACCACAGACACGCACCACACCGCAGACACGCACCGCAGACACGCACCACAGACACAGCACAGACAACACACACACCACACACACCACACACACACCACACACACACCCCACACACCACACACACATCACACACACACCACACACACACCACACACACCACACACACACCACAGACACACACACCACACAGACAACACACACACCACACACACCACACACACCACACACACACCACAGACACCCCACACACACACCACACACACACCACACACACACACACACACACCACACACACACACCACACACACACCACACACACACCACACACACACCACACACACACACCACACACACACACCACACACACACACCACACACACACCACACACACACGACAGACACCACAGACACACCACAGACACACCACAGACACACCACAGAAACGCTGGGGTCAACGCTGGGGTCAACACTGGGGGTCAACACTGGGGGTCAACGCTGGGGGTCGGGGCTGGGGGTCAACGCTGGGGGTCGGTGTTGGGGGTCAGCATTGGGGGTCAGCATTGGGGGTCAGCGTTGGGGGTCAGCGTTGGGGGTCGGGGCTGGGGGTCAATGCTGGGGGTCAACACTGGGGGTCAGCACTGGGGGTCGGTGTTGGGGGTCGGTGCTGGGGGTCAACACTGGGGGTCGGTGTTGGGGGTCGGTGTTGGGGGTCGGTGTTGGGGGTCGGTGTTGGGGGTCGGTGTTGGGGGTCGGTGCTGGGGGTCAGCATTGGGGGTCAGCACTGGGGGTCGGTGTTGGGGGTCGGTGTTGGGGGTCAACACTGGGGGTCGGTGTTGGGGGTCGGTGTTGGGGGTCGGTGTTGGGGGTCGGTGTTGGGGGTCAACACTGGGGGTCGGTGTTGGGGGTCGGTGTTGGGGGTCGGTGTTGGGGGTCGGTGTTGGGGGTCAACACTGGGGGTCGGTGTTGGGGGTCGGTGTTGGGGGTCGGTGTTGGGGGTCGGTGTTGGGGGTCGGTGTTGGGGGTCGGTGTTGGGGGTCGGTGCCGGGGGTCGGTGTGAGGACCGCCCCATGTCTCACCCTTGAGCCTGCCCTTGTGTTCGGCGGAGGGCGCCAGGTAGACCTGCATCACCGGCTTCACCTGCACCTCCACCTTGAGGCCGAGCCGCGCCTGCAGGTGGATGAAGCTGGAGCTGGGCCGGTAGACCTTCACCGAATCTGGGAGACACCGAGACGTCGTTCGCTCGGTCGGCGGGAGGGTGTCTGGTCCCTCGTGAGATGGTGACTACCTCGCCTGGTGCGCAGGAGGTCGTGGGTTCGATCCCGAGCCTGACGACGCCTGCCGCTGTAAGTATTTGGAGTTCTGCCGTATCTCTCTCCCCGTTGTTCACTCTCCATGCGATCAGAACATTTGGCTTCTGCGATACATTTCCGTCTGTGAAGGTCGCTTCTGAACCAACAGCGACTCCACACAGTAGCTCAGAGAGGTCTTACACCTCCTCAACATCGTTGAGGTTAGAGCCCAGGTCACCTGAGATTGGGCTCCGGGCCCAAAGAGATCATCAGGTCCACGGAACCAAGACCGTGACGATGCTGGAAGTGGTGGTTGACTTCATTTAGTAACCAACCCACCCACCCACCCACTCACTCACCCACCCACCCACTCAGTCACTCACCAACCCACCAACCCACCCACTCACTCAATCACTCACTCACCCACCCACGGCACCCGCTGCCCACCATCACGAAGGGCTACCTGAGTGGTAGGGTAGTGGCAGCGGCAGGTCGTTGAGGAACATCTTCCCCTCGCTGTCGATCTCCAACTTCTCCTGCACGACCACAGAACACGCAAGGTCAGCTCACGGTGACACGGAGATGTTGACTACCTCGCCTGGTGTACAGGAGGTCGTGGGTTCGATCCCGACCCTGACGATGCCTGTAGCCACTGTTGCTAGTGAGATGTTGACTACCTCGCCTGGTGCACAGGAGGTCGTGGGTTCGATCCCGACCCTGACGATGCCTGCTGCTGTATATATTTGGAATCTGCGTCTCTCTGTGTGAGTGGAGTGTGTGTGTGAGTGTGTGTGTGTGTTAGTGTGTCTGTGTGTGTGTGTGAGTGTCTGTGTGAGTCTGTGTGAGTGTGTGTCTGTGTGTGTGTCTGTGTGTGAGTGTGTGTGTTAGTGTCTGTGTGTTAGTGTGTGTGTGTGAGTGTGTGAGTGTGTGAGTGTGTGAGTGTGTGTGTGTGTCTGTGTGTGTGTCTGTGTGACTGTGTGAGTGTGTGTGTGAGTGTGTGTCTGTGTGTCTGTGTGTGTGTGTGAGTGTGTCTGTGTGTGTCTGTGTGTCTGTGTGAGTGTGTGAGTGTGAGTGTGTGTGTTTGTCTGTGTGTGTGTTATTGTGTGTGTGTGAGTGTGTGTGTGTCTGTGTGTGAGTGTGTGAGTGAGTGTGTGTGTTAGTGTGTCTGTGTGACTGTGTGTGAGTCTGTGTGACTGTGTGTGTGTGTGAGTGTGTGTCTGTGTGAGTGTGTGTGAGTCTGTGTGACTGTGTGTGTGTGTGTGTGTGTCTGTGTGAGTGTGTGTGAGTCTGTGTGTGTGTGTGAGTGTGTGTCTGTGTGAGTGTGTGTGTTAGTGTGTCTGTGTCTGTGAGTCTGTGTGTCTGTGTGTGTGTGTGAGTGTGTGTCTGTGTGAGTGTGTGTGAGTCTGTGTGACTGTGTGTGTGTGTGAGTGTGTGTGTGAGTGTGTGTGTTAGTGTGTGAGTGTGTGTGTGAGTGTGTGTGTGAGTGTGTGTGTTAGTGTGTGAGTGTGTGTGTGAGTGTGTGTGTGAGTGTGTGTGTTAGTGTGTGAGTGTGTGTGTGAGTGTGTGTGTGAGTGTGTGTGTGAGTGTGTGTGTGAGTGTGTGTGTGAGTGTGTGTGTGTGTGTCTGTGTGACTGTGTGTGTGTGTGAGTGTGTGTCTGTGTGAGTGTGTGTGAGTCTGTGTGACTGTGTGTGTGTGTGAGTGTGTGTGTGAGTGTGTGTGTGTGTGTGAGTGTGTGTGTGAGTGTGTGTGTGTGTGTCTGTGTGTCTGTGTGTGTGTGTGAGTGTGTGTCTGTGTTAGTGTGTGTGAGTCTGTGTGACTGTGTGTGTGTGTGAGTGTGTGTGTGAGTGTGTGTGTTAGTGTGTGAGTGTGTGTGTGAGTGTGTGTGTGAGTGTGTGTGTTAGTGTGTGAGTGTGTGTGTGTGTGTCTGTGTGAGTGTGTGTGTGAGTGTGTGTGTTAGTGTGTTAGTGTGTGTGTGTCTGTGTGACTGTGTGTGTCTGTGTGACTGTGTGTGTGTGTGAGTGTGTGTCTGTGTGAGTGTGTGTGAGTCTGTGTGACTGTGTGTCTGTGAGTGTGTGTGTGAGTGTGTGTGTTAGTGTGTGAGTGTGTGTGTGAGTGTGTGTGTGGGATGTAGTGTGTGTGTTAGTGTGTGAGTGTGTGTGTGTGTGAGTGTGTGTGTGAGTGTGTGTGTTAGGTGGTGTGTGAGTGTGTGTGTGAGTGTGTGTGTGAGTGTGTGTGTGAGTGTGTGTGTGAGTGTGTGTGTGAGTGTGTGTGTGTGTGTCTGTGTGACTGTGTGTGTGTGTGAGTGTGTGTCTGTGTGAGTGTGTGTGAGTCTGTGTGACTGTGTGTGTGTGTGTGAGTGTGTGAGTGTGTCTGTGAGTGTGTGTGTGAGTGTGTGTGTGTGTGTCTGTGTGTCTGTGTGTGTGTGTGAGTGTGTGTCTGTGTGAGTGTGTGTGAGTCTGTGTGACTGTGTGTGTGTGTGAGTGTGTGTGTGAGTGTGTGTGTTAGTGTGTGAGTGTGTGTGTGAGTGTGTGTGTGAGTGTGTGTGTTAGTGTGTGAGTGTGTGTGTGTGTGTCTGTGTGAGTGTGTGTGTGAGTGTGTGTGTTAGTGTGTTAGTGTGTGTGTGTCTGTGTGACTGTGTGTGTCTGTGTGACTGTGTGTGTGTGTGAGTGTGTGTGTGAGAGTGTGTGTGTTAGTGTGTGAGTGTGTGTGTGAGTGTGTGTGTGAGTGTGTGAGTGTGTGTGTTAGTGTGTGTGTGAGTGTGTGTGTGAGTGAGTGTCTGTGTGTCTGTGTGTGTCTGTGTGACTGTGTGTGTGTGTGAGTGTGTGTGTTAGTGTGTGTGTGTCTGTGTGACTGTGTGTGTGTGTGAGTGTGTGTGTTAGTGTGTGAGTGTGTGTGTGAGTGTGTGTGTGAGTGTCTGTGTGTGTGTGTGTGTCTGTGTGAGTGTCTGTGTGTGTGTGTGTCTGTGTGACTGTGTGTGTCTGTGTGTCTGTGTGTGTGTCTGTGTGACTGTGTGTGTGAGTGTCACCGAGGTGGACGTGAAGAGGATTGCGGCCAGGCTGGGGAGTTCATCCTCCTCCTGCCGCAGGCGAGCGTGGACCATCCACTTGTCCTTCTGCACAACACAGACTCACCCATCACTCACCCACTCACCCACCCACCCACCCACTCACTCACCCACTCACCCACTCACTCGCTCACTCACCCACTCACTCACCCACTCACTCACTCACCCACTCACTCACCCACTCACTCACCCACTCACTCACTCACCCACTCACTCACCCACTCACTCACCCACTCACCCACCCACTCACTCACTCACTCACTCACTCACCCACTCACTCACCCACTCACCCACTCACCCACTCACCCACTCACTCACTCACCCACTCACCCACTCACTCACTCACTCACTCACCCACTCACCCACTCACTCACCCACTCACTCACCCACTCACCCACTCACCCACTCACTCACCCACTCACTCACTCACCCACTCACTCACCCACTCACTCACTCACCCACTCACTCACTCACCCACTCACTCACCCACTCACTCACCCACTCACCCACCCACTCACTCACTCACTCACTCACCCACTCACTCACCCACTCACCCACTCACCCACTCACCCACTCACCCACTCACTCACTCACCCACTCACCCACTCACTCACTCACTCACCCACTCACCCACTCACTCACCCACTCACTCACCCACTCACCCACCCACCCACTCACTCACCCACTCACTCACTCACCCACTCACTCACCCACTCACTCACCCACTCACTCACTCACTCACCCACTCACTCACCCACTCACTCACCCACTCACCCACCCACTCACTCACCCACCCACTCACTCACCCACTCACTCACCCACTCACTCACCCACTCACTCACCCACTCACCCACCCACTCACTCACCCACCCACCCACTCACCCACCCACTCACCCACGCTGTGTGTGTGTGTGTCTCTCTCCGCGTGTACCATGCAGAGGATGAAGTCGCCTTCGCTGTGGAAGCTGAACGCTGCCGAGTCGAAGGACTTCACGTGGCTGCCGCCCTCCAGCGAACACTCGGCCTGCTGCTCCCTCGCGTCGCACAGCCACTGGCCCCCCGTGCACGTGCTGGGGGGGGGGGGCACGGGGGGGTCACGTGGAGAGTCACGGGGAGAGACACGTGGGCGGGGAGACGGGGGGGGAGACACGGGGGGGAGACACGGGGAGAGACACGGGGGGAGAGAGACACGGGGAGAGACACGGGGGGAGACACGGGGGAGAGACACGGGGGAGAGACACGTGGGCGGGGAGACGGGGGGGGAGACACGGGGGGGAGACACGGGGGGAGAGACACGGTGGGGGAGAGACACGGGGAGAGACACGGAGGGGAGAGACACGGGGGGGAGAGACACGGAGGGGAGAGACACGGGGGGGAGACACGGGGGGGAGAGACACGGGGAGAGACACGGGGGGAGAGACACGGAGGGGAGAGACACGGGGAGAGACACGGGGGGAGAGACACGGGGGGAGACACGGGGGGGGGGGAGACACGGGGAGAGACACGGGGGGAGACACGGGGGGAGACACGGGGGAGAGACACGTGGGCGGGGAGACGGGGGGGGAGACACGGGGGGAGAGACACGGGGAGAGACACGGGGGGAGAGACACGGAGGGGAGAGACACGGGGAGAGACACGGGGGGAGAGACACGGGGGGAGACACGGGGGGAGACACGGGGGGAGACACGGGGGGGGGGAGACACGGGGAGAGACACGGGGGGAGACACGGGGGGAGACACGGGGGGGGGGGAGACACGGGGAGAGACACGGGGGGAGACACGGGGGGAGACACGGGGGAGAGACACGTGGGCGGGGAGACGGGGGGGGAGACACGGGGGGAGAGACACGGGGAGAGACACGGGGGGAGAGACACGGAGGGGAGAGACACGGGGAGAGACACGGGGGGAGAGACACGGGGGGAGACACGGGGGGAGACACGGGGGGAGACACGGGGGGGGGGAGACACAGGGAGAGACACGGGGGGAGACACGGGGGGAGACACGGGGGGGGGGGGAGACACGGGGAGAGACACGGGGGGAGACACGGGGGGAGACACGGGGGAGAGACACGTGGGCGGGGAGACGGGGGGGGAGACACGGGGGGGGGGGAGACACGGGGAGAGACACGGGGGGGGGGGGGAGACACGGGGGGGGGGAGACACGGGGGGAGAGAGACACGGGGGGGGGGAGACACGGGGGGAGAGAGACACGGGGGGGGGGGGGAGACACGGGGAGAGACACGGGGGGGGGGGGAGACACGGGGAGAGACACGGGGAGAGACACGGGGGGGGGGGAGACACGGGGAGAGACACGGGGGGGGGGGGGAGGACACGGGGAGAGACACGGGGGGGGGGGAGACACGGGGAGAGACACGGGGGGGGGGGGAGACACGGGGAGAGACACGGGGGGGAGGGAGACACGGGGGGGGGGGGAGACACGGGGAGAGACACGGGGGGGGGGGGGGGAGACACAGGGAGAGACACGGGGGGGGGGGGGGAGACACGGGGAGAGACACGGGGGGGGGGGGAGACACGGGGAGAGACACGGGGGGGGGGGGAGACACGGGGAGAGACACGGGGGGGAGGGAGACACGGGGGGGGAGACACGGGGGGAGAGACACGGGGGGGGGGAGACACGGGGAGGAGACACGGGGGGGAGACACGGGGTGAGAGAGGGTCACGTGGTGAGAGAGTCACGTGGTGAGAGGGTCACGTGGTGAGAGGGTCACGTGGTGAGAGGGTCACGTGGTGAGAGGGTCACGTGGTGAGAGGGTCACGTGGTGAGAGGGTCGACTCACCAGGCGTTGAACCCGTCCTCCAGCGAGTCCCCGGCGTGGTGCAGCTGCTCCTCGTACTTGCACGGGCACTCCGCCTGCGAGATGCAGCGGTGAGACTCGCCGTGGTCATCCCTCACCGTGCCTGGGGGGGGGGGGGGGAGGGGGGGGGTCACAGTGGGGGGGGGGTCACAGTGGGGGGTCAAGGAGGGGGTAGGGGGGGTCACAGTGGGGGGTCAAGGAGGGGGTGGGGGGGGTCAGAGTGGGGGGTCAAGGAGGGGGTGGGGGGGGTCAGAGTGGGGGGTCTCCCTGACTAGTCACCAACACCGCACCAGGTCTCTCTTCCTGGCGGGGCTCGCCACCGTAAAGTGCGTTGCTTCGTGAGAGTGGGCGAGTGAGCGGGCGAGCGAGTGACTGAGCGGGTGAGTGAGCGGGCGAGCGAGTGAGCGAATGAGTGACCGAGTGAGTGAGTGAGTAACTGAGCGAGTGAGTGAGTAGCTGAGTAACTGAGTAACTGAGTGAGTAACTGAGCGAGTAAGTGAGTAGCTGAGTGAGTGAGTGACCGAGTGAGTAACCGAGCGAGCGAGTGAGTGGGTGAGTAACTGAGTGGCTGAGTGAGTGAGTGAGTAACTGAGTGAGTGAGTGAGTAACTGAGTGACTGAGTGAGTGAGTAACTGAGTGACTGAGTGAGTAACTGAGTGACCGAGTGAGTAACCGAGCGAGTGACCGAGCGAGCCGTACCCTCGGGGCAGAAGCATCCCGGCACAAACACCTCGTTACAGCTGATCTCCTGAGTGAGTAACTGAGTGAGTGAGTGAGTAGCTGAGTGACCGAGCGAGCGAGTGAGTGAGTGAGTAACTGAGTGAGTGAGTAACTGAGTGACCGAGCGAGCGAGTGAGTGAGTGAGTAACTGAGTGAGTGAGTAACTGATTGAGTGAGTAACTGAGTGACTGAGTGAGTAACTCAGTGACCGAGTGAGTAACCGAGCGAGTGACCGAGCGAGCCGTACCCTCGGGGCAGAAGCATCCCGGCACACACGCCTCGTCGCAGCTGATGGCCCCGCTGGGGTTGGCGCAGCTCTTCTCGCAGGGGGAGCCGCAGTCGTGAAACTCCTCTCCCTCGGGGCACGACGGGGCGGCTGGGCAGGAGGCAGAGACGAGACAGGGGAGGGGGTCACTACGACGCATCCACCTCGACGAAACGTGAGAACCATCGACACCCGAAACTGATCAGCGTCGCAGCTTGTGGCAGCAGCTTGTGGCTGCTGCTGGTGCGATGCTGATGGGCACCGCATCTACGCGCTGTGCTTTCAGATGTTATATACACTACACTATACACTACTACACTACACTACAATACACTATACACTACTACACTATACACTACTACACTATACAGTACACTACTATACACTACTACACTATACACTACACTATACACTACACTATACACTACACTATACACTACACTATACACTACACTAATATAATATACACTATACACTACACTATACACTACACTAATATACACTATACACTACACTATACACTACTATACACACTACACTACTATACACACTAAACTACACACTACACACTACACTACTATACACACTACACTACACACTACACTACACACTACACTATACACTACTACACACGATTGCTACCGACACCACGCTCACCGCATCCAACTTGCGCCCTCCATCCGCGCAGTGCCCCTTGACCTCCACCGCCACCGTGACGTCCGCACTGACGCGCGTACTCAGCCAGGCTGCCACAGGCGCCGTGGCCAGCCACGTGACCACCACTGTGGCCGCCGCTGTGACCGCCGCTGTGACCACCATCGGCACCATCGCCACCTTCGGCAGCCTCGCTCTGTTCGCACAGCGCGCTGTAGCCCGAGCGCTCCTCCACGCAGTCGCCAAACGCCTCGAGCCACGACGAGCATTGAGACTGCTGGCACAAGGCACCACGACACAGGCGGGGGGGGAGATGTTGACTACCTCGCCTGGTACACAGGAGGTCGTGGGTTCGATCCTGACCCTGAAGATGTCTGCTGCTTGCTGTATGCTTGGAGTCTGTGTCTCTCTCTCTCCCTGTGGTGAGATGTTGACTACCTCGCCTGGTAAACAGGAGGTCGTGGGTTCGATCCCGACCCTGACGATGTCTGTAGCCACTGTATGATGATGACACTGATGATGATGACACTGATGATGATGACACTGATGATGATGGCGGTGGTACTGATGAAGATGACACTGATGATGATGACACTGATGATGATGACGGCAGTGATGGTGATGGTGGTGGTAGTGATGGTGATTATGGCGGTGATGGTGATGGTGGTGATGATGACACTGATCATAATGGTGGTGATGGTGATGATGGTGATGATGACACTGGTGATGATGACACTGATGATGATGACACTGATGATGATGGTGGTGGTAGTGATGATGGTGGTGATGGTGATGATGGTGGTAGTGGTGATGATGACACTGATCATAATGGTGATAATGGTGATGATGGTGGTGGTGGTGATGGTGGTGGTGATGATGGTGGTGGTGATGATGGTGACACTGATGATAATGATGGTGGTGGTTATGATGATGATGGTAGTGATGATGGTGGTGGTGGTGATGATGGTGGTAGTGGTGATGATGACACTGATCATAATGGTGATAATGGTGATGATGGTGGTGGTGGTGATGGTGGTGGTGATGATGGTGGTGGTGATGATGGTGACACTGATGATAATGATGGTGGTGGTTATGATGATGATGTTAGTGATGATGGTGGTGGTGGTGATGGTGGTCTTGTACCTTGGAGGGATGGTGGTGATGGTGGTGATGATGACACTGATGATAATGATGGTGGTGGTTATGATGATGATGATGGTAGTGATGATGGTGGTGATGGTGGTGATGATGGTAGTCTTGTACCTTGGAGGGATGGTGGTATTTATATTCGAGGCACCCGTTCTGATTGTCCATGCTCTCTTTGAGGAATTGCTTCATCTGGCCAGGGTTGTCTGTGACGGAGACACACAGCGCCACCAACATCATCACCATCATCAATACCACTACCACCATCACCACCACCATCACCACCATCATCATCATCGTCATCATCATCATCACCATCATCACCATCACCATCATCACCATCATCATCATCACCATCATCACCATCACCATCATCACCACCATCATCATCATCACCACCATCATCATCATCATCATCATGTAGTGTAGTGTGTAGTATAGTGTGTAGTGTATAGTGTAGTGTATAGTGTAGTGTATAGTGTAGTGTATAGTGTAGTGTGTAGTGTAGTGTATAGTGTAGTGTAGTGTGTAGTGTAGTGTAGAGGGTAGTGTGTAGTGTAGTGTCTAGTGTAGTGTATAGTGTAGTGTAGTATGTAGTGTAGTATGTAGTGTATAGTGTAGTGTGTAGTGTAGTATGTAGTGTATCGTGTAGTGTAGTGTGTGGTGTAGTGTATAGTGTGTAGTGTAGTGTGTGGTGTAGTGTATAGTGTGTAGTGTATAGTGTAGTATATAGTAGTGTGTAGTGTATAGTGTATAGTATAGCAGTGTATAGTAGTGTATAGTGTAGTGTATAATAGTGTAGTGTATAGTGTATAGTATAGTGTGTAGTGTATAGTGTATAGTATAGTGTGTAGTGTATAGTGTAGTGTGTAGTATATAGTGTGTAGTGTAGTGTATAGTGTAGTGTGTAGTGTATAGTGTAGTGTATAGTGTAGTGTATAGTGTAGTGTAGTGTATAGTGTAGTGTATAGTGTAGTGTGTAGGTAGTGTAGTGTATAGTGTAGTGTGTAGTGTAGTGTAGTATGTAGTGTAGTGTATAGTGTAGTGTATAGTGTAGTGTATAGTGTAGTGTATAGTGTAGTGTATAGTGTAGTGTATAGTGTAGTGTATAGTGTAGTATGTAGTGTAGTATGTAGCGTAGTGCGCCCACCCCCCACTCACCGATCTTGAGGTCCTTGTTGCCGTCGTAGTTGCCACAGACGCCGCACATCGACTTGGCGAATTTCTTGTTCACTTGGATCTGAAGCGGGGAGAGAGGCAGCCAGTCAACTACACTATACACTACACTATACACTACACTATACACTACTACACTATACACTACACTATACACTACACTACACACTACACTATACTACACTATACACTACTACACTATACACTACACTATACACTACTACACTATACACTACTACACTATACACTACACTATACACTACACTATACACTACACTATACACTACACTATACACTACTACACTATACACTACACTATACACTACTACACTATACACTACTACACTATACACTACACTATACACTACTACACTATACACTGCACTATACACTACTACACTATACACTACACTATACTACACTATACACTACTACACTATACACTACTAACACTATACACTACTACACTATACACTACTACACTATACACTGCACTATACACTACACTATACACTACTACACTATACACTGCACTATACACTACACTATACACTACTACACTATACACTGCACTATACACTACACTATACACTACACTATACTACACTATACACTACTACACTATACACTACACTATACACTACTACCTACACTACACTATACACTATACACTATACACTACTACACTATACACTCTAACTACAATACTATACCTACGACACTATACACTACCACTATACATACAACTATACACTACTACACTACCTACACTATACACTACTACACTATACACTACTACACTAATACACTACACTACAATACACTATACACTACTACCACTACTACACTATAACGATACATACCACCTATACACTACTCACTTATACACTGACACTATACCACTACTACACTATACCTACACTATACACGACTGACACTAGACACTACTAACGACTAACACTCACGCTACAGACACACTATACACACTAGCACTATACACTACATATACACTACTACACACATACACTGCACATATACACTCACTAGACACTACTACTACATACACACTATACACTGGACACTTATACACTACACTATACACTACTACTAATACATACAGCTATAACACTACTACACTATTACACTACTACACTATACACTACGACCTATACACTACTACACTACTACACTACTACCTATACACTACTACACTATACATACGACACTTACACTACTACACTATACACTACTACCCTATACACTACTACCCTATACACTACTACACTATACACTACTACACCTATACACTACTACACTATACCACTACTACACTATCACTACTACACTATACACTACTACACTATACACTACTACACTCTACACTACACTATACACACTACACTATACACTAACTACTACATACACTACTACACTATACACTACTACACTATACACTACTACACTATACACTACTACACTATACACTACACTATACACTACTACACTATACACTACTACACTATACACTACACTATACACTGCACTATACACTACTACACTATACACTACACTATACACTACACTACACACTACACTACACACTATACACTACACTACACACTATACACTACACTATACACTACTACACTATACACTACACTATACACTACACTATACACTACACTATACACTACACTATACACTACTATACACTACTATACACTAACCTATACACTACTACACTATACACTACACTATACAGTCCCTCCAGAAAAACACGGAGTTTTTTGGTGATTGTTGCGGGCAAAAATCGTTGATTATGCGGCACGTTTTCTTAAAAAATGCGATGGAATATGCGGGATATTTATGCAATTTTATGCGATTAAATTGCGAGAACTTGCAAAAATTGCGGTTTGATGAAAAAGAGAAAAAAAAGTGATTCCCCCAACACCCTATTCACTAGGCTACTACTTTAATGTAAAGAGTCATTTCTTATTACTTCCTATGATAAGCAAGCATACTACATCACAGAAAGTGCTGGGAATATTTAAGTTCTCATCTTGTTTTATTTCAGACCTTAACAAACAGATGGCTCAAACTTACAAAACATTGAGTCGAACAAGTCCTGTAGCTTTACAAAATGAATATGCTACAACTTCTGTAAAAATGAATAAATAAAATATTAAAAAATAAAATGTGTGCTTCCTGTTTTACAGAGGTATCTATACAAAACAGACATCTTCTGTTAAAATAAGTGTTTTCAGTGCACAGTAACGTAAGCAATACAGTAACAGTACAGTCTTACAGTAATGTAAATTTACATACTACTAACAAAAAAGTGCAATCTTACAACTGTAATGAGTGACGTCACTTCATAACGTTCCCGTGGCAACAGGGGAAATGGCTGCGCTTGTGTGACGTAAACGCAACATTTTTCAACTTTCCGCTAAGATATATGCGACTTTTTGCAACGAAAATGCGTGGATTATGAAATCATGCAAGCCCGCATATTTTGCGCGCGAAAATCTGCAATTTATGCGGCGAAAGTGCGGCGTATTTGAAAAAACGCGCCCCCCGCATAAATATGCGGACTTTGGCTGATTTTGCGTGGAATCTTGCGATCGCATAATCGCGTTTTTCTGGAGGGACTGACTATACACTACACTATACACTACACTATACACTACACTACACACTATACACTACTATACACTATACTATACACTACACTATACACTACAATATACACTACACTATACACTACTACACTACACTACTATACACTACTACACTACACTATTATACACTACACTATACACTACTATACACTATACACTACACTATACACTACTATACACTACTACACTACACTATACATTACACTATACACTACTATACACTACACTATACACTACTATACACTACACTATACACTACTATACACTACACTATACACTACTATACACTACACTATACACTACACTATACACTACACTACTATACACTACACTACCACCACACCACCACCACCACGACACCACCACCACCACCACCCCACCACCTCCTCCACCACCACCAGGTCCTCACCGTGACCGCGTCCTCCCCCCAGGCCACATCGAGGCCGATGGTTTTGGCCGTGAGGCTTTTGAAGGCGCCGCTCCCCTTCACCATGAAACCGTCGCCCTCGAACGGACACTCCACTCTGGGGGGGGGGGGGGCACGGGTGGGGGGGGGGGCACGGGGGGGGGGGCACGGGTGGGGGGGGGGCACGGGGGGGGGCACGGGGGGAGCACGGGGGGGTGGGGGGGCACGGGGGGATAAGTTCAGTGAGTGAGTGGTGCCGTGGATCACAGTGTGAGTGTGTGGGTGGGTGAGTGGGAGGGTGGGTGGGTGAGTGGGAGGGTGAGTGGGTGAGTGGGAGGGTGAGTGGGAGGGTGGGTGGGTGTGTGGGTGGGTGAGTGGGAGGGTGGGTGGGTGAGTGGGAGGGTGGGTGGGTGAGTGGGAGGGTGGGTGGGTGAGTGGGAGGGTGGGTGGGTGAGTGGGAGGGTGGGTGGGTGAGTGGGAGGGTGGTGTGGGTGAGTGGGAGGGTGGGTGGGTGAGTGGGAGGGTGAGTGGGAGGGTGGGTGGGTGTGTGGGTGGGTGAGTGGGAGGGTGGGTGGGTGAGTGGGAGGGTGGGTGGGTGAGTGGGAGGGTGGGTGGGTGAGTGGGAGGGTGGGTGGGTGAGTGGGAGGGTGGGTGGGTGAGTGGGAGGGTGGGTGGGTGAGTGGGTGAGTGGGTGGGTGAGTGAGTGACTGGGTGAATGACTGGGTGAGTGAGTGACTGGGTGACTGAGTGAGTGACTGAGTGAGTGAGTGAGTGTGAGGGTGAGTGACTGAGTGACCGGGTGAGTGACTGAGTGAGTGACTGAGTGAGTGACTGACTGATGAGTGAGCTCACCTCTGCCCATTGAGGCTGGCTCCTGCTCCCCACTGTGATCCGCTGGGGTGGAACGTGACGGTGAGTGAGTGACTGGGTGAGTGAGTAAGTGACTGGGTGAGTGACTGGGTGAGTGAGTAACTGACTGAGTGAGTGACTGAGTGACTGACTGAGTGACTGGGTGAGTGAGTGACTGGGTGAGTGACTGACTGACTGAGTGAGTGTGAGTCTGAGTGAGTGTGAGTCTGAGTGAGTGACTGGGTGAGTGTGAGTCTGAGTGAGTGTGAGTCTGAGTGAGTGTGAGTCTGAGTGAGTGTGAGTCTGAGTGAGTGACTGGGTGAGTGTGAGTCTGAGTGAGTGTGAGTCTGAGTGAGTGTGAGTCTGAGTGAGTGTGAGTCTGAGTGAGTGACTGGGTGAGTGTGAGTCTGAGTGAGTGTGAGTCTGAGTGAGTGTGAGTCTGAGTGAGTGACTGGGTGATGTGTGAGTCTGAGTGAGTGTGAGTCTGAGTGAGTGTGAGTCTGAGTGAGGTGAGGTCTGAGTGACTGACTGAGTGTGAGTCTGAGTGAGTGTGAGTCTGAGTGAGTGACTGGGGTGAGTGTGAGTCTGAGTGAGTGTGCGTCTGAGTGAGTGTGAGTCTGAGTGAGTGTGAGTCTGAGTGAGTGACTGGGTGAGTGTGAGTCTGAGTGAGTGTGAGTCTGAGTGAGTGTGAGTCTGAGTGACTGACTGGGTGAGTGTGAGTCTGAGTGAGTGTGAGTCTGAGTGAGTGTGAGTCTGAGTGAGTGTGAGTCTGAGTGAGTGACTGGGTGAGTGTGAGTCTGAGTGAGTGTGAGTCTGAGTGAGTGTGAGTCTGAGTGAGTGGACTGGGTGAAGTGTGAGTCTGAGTGAGTGTGAGTCTGAGTGAGTGTGAGTCTGAGTGAGTGGAGTCTGAGTGAGTGACTGGGTGAGTGTGAGTCTGAGTGAGTGTAAGTCTGAGTGGATGTGTGAGTCTGAGTGAGTGACTGGGTGAGTGTGAGTCTGAGTGAGTGTGAGTCTGAGTGAGTGTGAGTCTGAGTGAGTGACTGGGTGAGTGTGAGTCTGAGTGAGTGTGAGTCTGAGTGAGTGTGAGTCTGAGTGACTGACTGAGTGAGTGTGAGTCTGAGTGAGTGTGAGTCTGAGTGAGTGACTGGGTGAGTGTGAGTCTGAGTGACTGACTGGGTGAGTGTGAGTCTGAGTGAGTGTGAGTCTGAGTGAGTGTGAGTCTGAGTGAGTGTGAGTCTGAGTGACTGACTGAGTGTGAGTCTGAGTGAGTGTGAGTCTGAGTGAGTGACTGGGTGAGTGTGAGTCTGAGTGAGTGTGAGTCTGAGTGAGTGTGAGTCTGAGTGAGTGTGAGTCTGAGTGAGTGACTGGTTGAGTGTGAGTCTGAGTGAGTGTGAGTCTGAGTGAGTGTGAGTCTGAGTGAGTGACTGGGTGAGTGTGAGTCTGAGTGAGTGTGAGTCTGAGTGAGTGTGAGTCTGAGTGAGTGTGAGTCTGAGTGAGTGACTGGGTGAGTGTGAATCTGAGTGAGTAGTGGTCTGAGTGAGTGTGAGTCTGAGTGAGTGTGAGTCTGAGTGAGTGTGAGTCCTGAGTGACTGACTGAGTGAGTGTGAGTCTGAGTGAGTGTGAGTCTGAGTGAGTGACTGGGTGAGTGTGAGTCTGAATGACTGACTGGGTGAGTGTGAGTCTGAGTGAGTGTGAGTCTGAGTGAGTGTGAGTCTGAGTGAGTGACTGGGTGAGTGTGAGTCTGAGTGAGTGTGAGTCTGAGTGAGTGTGAGTCTGAGTGAGTGACTGGGGTGAGTGTGAGTCTGAGTGAGTGTGAGTCTGAGTGAGTGTGAGTCTGAGTGAGTGTGAGTCTGAGTGAGTGACTGGGTGAGTGTGAGTCTGAGTGAGTGTGAGTCTGAGTGAGTGTGAGTCTGAGTGAGTGACTGGGTGAGTGTGAGTCTGAGTGAGTGTGAGTCTGAGTGAGTGTGAGTCTGTGAGTGACTGGTGAGTGTGATCCTGAGTGAGTGTGAGTCTGAGTGAGTGTGAGTCTGAGTGAGTGTGAGTCTGAGTGACTGACTGAGTGTGAGTCTGAGTGAGTGTGAGTCTGAGTGAGTGACTGGGTGAGTGTGAGTCTGAGTGAGTGTGCGTCTGAGTGAGTGTGAGTCTGAGTGAGTGTGAGTCTGAGTGAGTGACTGGGTGAGTGTGAGTCTGAGTGAGTGTGAGTCTGAGTGAGTGTGAGTCTGAGTGAGTGTGAGTCTGAGTGACTGACTGGGTGAGTGTGAGTCTGAGTGAGTGTGAGTCTGAGTGAGTGTGAGTCTGAGTGAGTGTGAGTCTGAGTGAGTGACTGGGTGAGTGTGAGTCTGAGTGAGTGTGAGTCTGAGTGAGTGTGAGTCTGAGTGAGTGACTGTGTGAGTCTGAGTGAGTGACTGGGTGAGTGTGAGTCTGAGTGAGTGTGAGTCCGAGTGAGTGTGAGTCTGAGTGAGTGTGAGTCTGAGTGACTGACTGAGTGAGTGTGAGTCTGAGTGAGTGTGAGTCTGAGTGAGTGACTGGGTGAGTGTGAGTCTGAGTGACTGACTGGGTGAGTGTGAGTCTGAGTGAGGTGTGAGTCTGAGTGAGTGTGAGTCTGAGTGAAGTGTGAGTCTGAGTGAGTGTGAGTCCTGAGTGAGTGACTGGGTGAGTGTGAGTCTGCGTGAGTGTGAGTCCTGAGTGAGTGTGAGTCTGAGTGAGTGACTGGGTGAGTGTGAGTCTGAGTGAGTGAGTCTGAGTGAGTGTGAGTCTGAGTGAGTGACTGGGTGAGTGTGAGTCTGAATGAGTGTGAGTCTGAGTGAGTGTGAGTCTGAGTGAGTGTGAGTCTGAGTGAGTGACTGGGTGAGTGTGAGTCTGAGTGAGTGTGAGTCTGAGTGAGTGTGAGTCTGAGTGAACTGACTGAGTGAGTGTGAGTCTGAGTGAGTGTGAGTCTGAGTGAGTGACTGGGTGAGTGGTGAGTCTGAGTGACTGACTGGGTGAGTGTGAGTCCTGAGTGAGTGTGAGTCTGAGTGAGTGTGAGTCTGAGTGAGTGTGAGTCTGAGTGACTGACTGAGTGTGAGTCTGAGTGAGTGTGAGTCTGAGTGAGTGACTGGGTGAGTGTGAGTCTGAGTGAGTGTGAGTCTGAGTGAGTGTGAGTCTGAGTGACTGACTGAGTGTGGAGTCTGAGTGAGTGGTGAGTCTGAGTGAGTGACTGGGTGAGTGTGAGTCTGAGTGAGTGTGAGTCTGAGTGAGTGTGAGTCTGAGTGAGTGTGAGTCTGAGTGACTGACTGGGTGAGTGTGAGTCTGAGTGAGTGTGAGTCTGAGTGAGTGTGAGTCTGAGTGGAGTGTGAGTCTGAGTGAGTGACTGGGTGAGTGTGAGTCTGAGTGAGTGTGAGTCTGAGTGAGTGTGAGTCTGAGTGACTGTGTGAGTCTGAGTGAGTGACTGGGTGAGTGTGAGTCTGAGTGAGTGTGAGTCTGAGTGAGTGTGAGTCTGAGTGAGTGTGAGTCCTGAGTGACTGACTGAGTGAGTGTGAGTCTGAGTGAGTGTGAGGTCTGAGTGAGTGACTGGGTGAGTGTGAGTCTGAGTGACTGACTGGGTGAGTGTGAGTCCTGAGTGAGTGTGAGTCTGAGTGACTGAACTGAGTGTGAGTCTGAGTGAGTGTGAGTCTGAGTGAGTGACTGGGTGAGTGTGAGTCTGAGTGAGTGTGAGTCTGAGTGAGTGTGAGTCTGAGTGAGTGTGAGTCTGAGTGAGTGACTGGTTGAGTGTGAGTCTGAGTGAGTGTGAGTCTGAGTGAGTGTGAGTCTGAGTGAGTGACTGGGTGAGTGTGAGTCTGAGTGAGTGTGAGTCTGAGTGAGTGTGAGTCTGAGTGAGTGTGAGTCTGAGTGAGTGACTGGGTGAGTGTGAGTCTGAGTGAGTGTGAGTCTGAGTGAGTGTGAGTCTGAGTGAGTGTGAGTCTGAGTGAGTGTGAGTCTGAGTGACTGACTGAGTGAGTGTGAGTCTGAGTGAGTGTGAGTCTGAGTGAGTGACTGGGTGAGTGTGAGTCCTGAGTGAGTGTGAGTCTGAGTGAGTGTGAGTCTGAGTGACTGACTGAGTGTGAGTCTGAGTGAGTGTGAGTCTGAGTGAGTGACTGGGTGAGTGTGAGTCCTGAGTGAGTGTGAGTCTGAGTGAGTGTGAGTCTGAGTGACTGACTGAGTGTGAGTCTGAGTGAGTGTGAGTCTGAGTGAGTGACTGGGTGAGTGTGAGTCTGAGTGAGTGTGAGTCTGAGTGAGTGTGAGTCTGATTGA